GCCATCACAAGTAGCTTCGCACGCAAGTATTCATAGCTATCACTCCTCGATGTCCTGCGTAGACCAGGCCCACGTCTAGCTCCCGTGCAGCTGTAGGTATGGCTACCCATGTTCCACGGGTGACGCAACCGCGATGAATAGCCAGCTAAGCTCTGTGGCTCTTCCGCAGTATGGTTTGAAGTAATCGCCTTCCAGCTGCTGCACCGTACATTCTTGTATCACTTTAGAGAGCTTTGAGAGTATGACAGCCTCTTTCGTTATTCTCGCTATAACTTCCGCTGTAAGGGGTGGTTGTGGCAAGGCCTCGAAGATTAGAACGTCCCCGAGAGCATGGAGTTCTTCGACGCGGTCTGGTTGTGGCAACCTGCTGACTCTGTCAGCGTTCTGGCGCAGCTTCCCAGCCCGGTACTTAATGCTGTAGTTGTTCCGCTGCAAGCTTCAGACTCTAGCATTCGGTCCCCTGCTGCTACACCGAAATTGGACAGATATATACACACATTGACAGTAACTGTTAACGGAAAACTGTCGAGCCGACACGACACATTTATTTTAAATTTGTTTCAGTCAGTCTGTCTACGGCCGCTAACGCGGCCGTAGACAGAGGCACTTTATGTTTCATTCTTTTACTTGCCTCAACTCAAAATCTGTACTCCAGTGACGCGGCACAGTAGTTACCGGAACCACGACACGCGGCTGCAGATTGGCAAATATTTTTTTTTTTGCGACTTTGCAGCAGAATAGCACTTTTTGGGTGGAATGTAACACGTTCATTCACACCTATACTTGATAAAAAAAATACAAGCTGCAAGTTCATCCCACGTCAATATCGTTACACCACCCCTTTAAGTATCTTTAGGTATAACAGTATCTACCGTTCAGCACAAGCCCCATGTTTTGCAGGCCCCAGCACGTAAGCATGATGACTCATCTGAAAATGCTTACGTTCCGCGGCAGCGTCATGTCATTTTTGAGAAATACTTGTTTGCTTCACTTTAGTTTAATTCCATCCCTTACTCAGTTTTCAAACGTTGTTACTTTTATTGTCGTTAAATGGCCCATGCTACGTTACTAAGAGTGCTACGCCGAGCTGTTCGAGCAGCCTACAAGGCCACCGAAAACAATTCACTAACATGGTAATATACAAAAACACGCCAATGACAAGACTGAGCTCGCCATCGTTGCATGGCTATGAATGGCGAACCCGAATGTTGCAAACCCTTTAAATGAAGACCACGCTGTCGGCGACTATCCCGTTTCCCGCCATTGTGTTTCGCTGAGGGAGACGAGTCTCCCGATTTTGCGCGGGATTAATCCGACGCGAATTAAAGTCTCCGCATAACGCCGGCCGTTGTCTCCGCGAACGCACATCCATCTCCAAAACCAATAACGCATGGACGGCGTCTCACGTTCCCCCTCCTTCCGCGCCATATTGCGAGTCACGTGACGCTCTGTTATCGGCGATTAATCAGCGCACTGTATTAAAAAGAGACCCCCGTCCCTCCAACAATGCCTCTGACGAACTTTGAGGCACTTAATACACGTCATTTGGCGTCTCCGAGCGAAGCAAAGCTGAGCTTCTGTTTTACGTTTTTTCGTCGTCTTTTTCTGGCAGCCCGAAGCTGCGGTTGAGACGCCACCAGAGGGCGAGTGAAGTGGCTAGCCGAGTTGCGCAACAGCCGTATATACCGCTGACAGCGGGTGCCACAAAGAGCCCCGCCCCTCTCCGTCTATCAATCACACACAGGCGCTCTTTTGTTTGAGCCATCGCGGGCACTGGGCGCCCGCACTAAAGCCCGAAACGACTCTCTATTCGTCTCCTCTGCCGTGATTTTATCTTTTCGCCGTGCGTACGGCCGTCCCCGTCCGCATTGTTGGGCGGTCCGTCGTCTTCTCCTCTTTTGGGCGCAAAATTCTCTCGGTTGAATTGAGGTCGGACCTTGGAATGAGCTCCCGGCCTCGGTCGTCAACCGACCGCAGGGCCACGATCGGAAAGGGAAGGAAATTAATGAACCGGGTCGAGTAATGACCGTGGGTTCGAGGAAGGAAGACGCCTTTTTATCCTTCTTTCGGAAGGACCTTTCTGGAAGTGTCTGCTTTCTCTGGCGGACTGTCCTCCGTCTGCCAACCCCGGCCGAAAACACTGCGTCTCCGGCGTCTTTTGATCCGATTTATCGTAATTTTTGGTAGCGGGTATGCTGCGGCCGTTTCGACGAAATCGAAGCAAGCGTTAAGGCAGAGTAGCAGGGAGAAAATCATTCTTTCGATATGGCTCTGGCCATTGGCTTTGATCGCTGCCTTTTTCTCTTTCAAGTTTCTTTTTTTTTTTGTTTTTTTTAGATTTTTGATGGTGCAGCTTCAAACCATTGCACATCTCTCTTGGGCAAGCTTTGGTCACGACGTGGGAATTTATAAAGGGGCCTGAGACCTGCCTCTTGAGGTGATTTTTGTTTCTTAGATGAGACTCGGACGAAGATGCGTTATTTATTATTTTTTTTTATGGCGACAACATGATTTTTGTTTTACTCGTTAAACGCTCCAGCCACCGTCGTCGAAATTCATGCTTTAAAAGTATTTTTGGCGGCTGTGCTATACTTCGTATCAGCTTAAGTTGAGACGCAGCCGACGCTATGAGCGAATGGGACCAATCAAGCCGCGTAAGAAGCTCAAGTCACTACGCATTTTCTGTTCATAATCGGTTCAGCAATAATAGAACACGTAGAGAAACAAGACGTACACCATGACGGTACGTTTCTGAGGCTGCCTGATTGGTCCCCTCTCCTAAGCTGCGTGGGGGAGCCAGGTTGGGGCGAGGTAAAACGTGCAGAGGATATGGGAAAGGAGGTGGCGGGCGAAAGTGGAAGCCTCGGCCTTTAAGGGGAACTACAAAGTGCCCACGGAAGACCGTGGGGACGTCACTATTTGAGGGGGTGGTTTTACTTCACTACATAATCACTACAGCAAATGTAGGCGAAATTTTGCCGAATAATTCCAAATAATGTTTGTAAGAGTAATTTTTCCAAACGCAACGTATAAAAATTTATTTTGTATTAACTTTACGAGGGGACAAAATGGTGACGTGGGGGCAGTGCGGTGAATCTTAATCTCAGCCAACCTTTAACAGTGATATTGATTTATTGTTTCAGTTTTAACTGAAGCGTGCGTTTACTCATATTTGCCTAAAAATAGCTGCAAAAGTAATTGAGTTGTTCGTATGTTTAAAGAACCGGAAGCTATGAGGCACTAAAATCACCGGATGCTGTGAAAATTGCTCCATTGACCTTCCTGCCCCTAGCCGGACACAAAGAGATGTTGGCATGCAGAAGATCAAACCCCGCGAGGCGATTGGCTGATCTGTTCCAGTTGCCATTGTATTCGCCATTTCAATTCATTCGAAACTTCGAAAGGGTCGTTCTTAGCTAGTCGCGCCGAGATCGCTATGAACCATCATCGTACCGAAATTGTTTCCCGCCAAAATAAGCGTCTTTGGCTCAATGCATGCAATCCATTAAAACAATCATTCTTTTTTTCACATATCTCTTACAATGGTATCGTTTTAGAGCGCAGCTCTTAGGGGCCCGTTTCCAGCCTGAGCGGCGTCGGCGTCGGCGTCGCCGTCGGCGTAACGGGGGGGGGGGGGGGGGTCGCGTGACCCCCCCCCCCCCCGAAGTCGCGTGATCCCCCGAGGTCACGTGACCCCCCCCGAGGTCACATGACCCCCTTCCCCCGAGATCACGTGACCCCCGGGGTCACGTGACTACCCGCAGGTGACGTGACCCCCCTCAGTGCCCTTCCCTACTCCTCCTCAAGAGCTGCGCTCCAATTCGGCGTTACAGGGATTTGTAAACGGCTTTCTTTTTTTCTAACCTATTAAAAGAAAGGAAAATTAATTTTTGAATGCCGGCCAGCACCGGTGCCCCATGGGGCGGCGGTTCAAAGACGATCGCTTGTTTTGTCGGTCGATGCATGACAATATCTCTGTATTCTAAAAACATCCCTATAAGGCTACCCGTCATCAGCGAATTTAGGTCGGCTCGCCAGGAATGGAGTGGTTAAAAAGAAACTGCTTATTTCATGAAACAAAATGGCGACCATACGCGGAGCTTGGCCTACTTTCTCAGGATCCAGCGATACTTTCGAAACATTGGAAATTGTCTTGTCCGTCTTTGTGTTCCATGTTCTTCCCATTATTTATGTTAGTAGGCACCAATAAGCATCTGCAGTTTCAGACGTAGATGAGAAATTTTTGCCAGTGCACTACAACTCGCCAGCTTGGGGTCTTTAATGTACACAACGCAGTACTAATACACGACCGCACGCCGGTACAATGCTGATCGAGATGGAAACGAGCACAGGTGAGGGATTGAATGTTGTATTCCTGGGTTCTGCAGCGCGATCTTTTGCCCCACGCGCTCGGACCTGCGGTGAGCTCATACGGCCACTGATCTCCCTAAATTATTTGTAAGAACATACAAACCGCAAGACGTTGTTGGTTCTTGAAATGAAATCTGGAGCTGTGGCTAAACAATCTGACCAGCTCGTAAAGCAAGGATTGTCTTTTGCATATTCGCAGTGTCCACAGATTTCGCGTAATAAAAAACTCGTTTAACAACGTTGAGTGTGCTCGCTCAAAAGAATCAAACAGGAACGAGAAAAAAAAATAATCGGGTGGTCCTCCTTTCCAATCCTCACAGCAGGCTGACGGGAAAACGACACGTACCGGATATCATGGCCGTAGAGAGGTCATGTTTCTACGTCATCTACCGAAGGCCAGCGCGGGGCACAAATTGGACGAGAGTGCTTCGTGAGCTTTCGGCTGGAACCCGTGTTCAGTAAGTGAGAACATGAGTCATATAACCCTACGCTGACGCAGTACTCGCGTTTATTCGTTGCCCCTCTTTGACCTTCCGTTCGTGACGTATACAAACTTGACCGCTGTGCGGCCTCGATGTCTGGGTGTGATGGGTGACGGGTAAGTGGTCGAGCGACAAGGTCGCGCTCACCGAAGTCGAGGGTTCGAACGCGCACGACCTCGGACTGGGGTCCGGCCCCCTTCCCGTTGAAGGCCTGCACGGTGACGGCGTACTCCGTGGAGCGCCTCAGGCCGCCCAACTCGTAGGTGACCCTGTGCGGCTCGCCCGTAGGCGGCAGCGACTCGAACGTCTTGAAGGTGAACGCCTCGAGGCTGCTCAGCTCCCGGTAACCCACGTAGAAGCCCTCGATGCGGTCGTCCGACTTGGACAGCAGCGGGTTCTGTGAGGCAGCGGAACTTGGATGAGGAAGGGAATCTTTAAAACCGCGGCCACGCAGCTAATGCGTCAAAAAAAGGACGGTCGCAGACACTGTCTGGAGCGTGTTTCTTCCTCGCATGGCTGTCTTGTAACACAAAACAAAACATATTACCAGTAACACTGCGGCTTAAGGAAACGGACCTTTGTTGAAACCGAGCTCAAACCAACTGGCACTCTAGTTGGTTACACACAAGAGCAAAGCACAACGCAAAAAAAACACAAAAAAACAAGTACTAGTACAAGTACACGGGACAAACGCCATTGAAACACCTAAAGGTAGAACATAAAAAAACGGGTCTTGTCTGGCTTCTCTTACTTTGTTTGTTTCGAGCATTTTTCATCCAGTTTCGATTGTTTCAACAAAGCGGTGAACTTGCACCAGCTCGCTTACGCTCTCACTGTATTAATAGATGAGAAAGAACATCTTTAAATTCGCTGTCTCATTGCTCGTGCATCACACAGATGTTCGCCGCAGACATGATGACAGATGTATCGGCGGACACGGCTCAACCTTGTTCGAAGCGCGTTTACTTCATACACTGTTTTGAACGACGCGAACATAAACGCTGTATTCTTGTGTTCGGCCATAGCTTCCTTCTATACTCACAAAGCCTGGCAGTTCGACGACGGAGCCATAGAGAGCCCGGTCGCAGATTTGGAACGCGAGTTTCTGGTAGCACAGAGCATCAAAGAGTCATTTCTCGAAGAACCTGGTCGTCAGCGCGCAGATTTTGCAACGGCGAGGACACGAAACACACTTGTTCGCTCGGGAGATGTGTGTTTCTGCGTCTCGCCGCAGCGGGGCGCCAGACACGTGGCTCTCCTCTGATCCGTCGTCTGCCGCTCCCCTTTTTCCATTTCGGCGGCCGCTTCTCGTGGCGAAGTACCAGGCTTTGTCAATATATAGGAGGCTATGGTTTGGCGTTCTATCGCGTACTAACTCTGAGTTGAGACGAGAGCAGCGTGTTTTGCCTCTCTACCCACTAATCATTCTAACTAGGGCTCGGTGTTCTGCTGCCCCCGCGCACGCTCATCCCCCTGCTCCTCCTTGGCTTCTATCCATGTAAAGCAGAAGGTAGTCGTCAGTCACCGCCATAGAATCCCGACTCGTATCGTGAGCGGTGGTACAGCTCCATGGTCATGAGAAGCCCGAAGCGAACGGAGAACCCAGACATTTCGAATTCGAGGCGGCTAAGTATCGATGAACCGGCGTCCCGAGCCGTATCCATTACGTTTCGCCCGATCGCAGCGCGCTCGCTTGGAGCCGTTTCCTCGCCCAACGAACTCGGCGCCCGTCGATCGGCGCTCATCGGCGGCGTCTCCCGCTCGGATTGATTGAGAGTAGGCCCCGAACGGTCGCGCACACTTCCGAGCCGCCGTCCCCTCTGCTTGGCAGCGGCTAATTTGTTTCGATCCGCCCGCCCCCGCGCTCCTCCTATACTCCGTTCGCCCGTAAGCTGACAGCGGAATGGAAGCTACGCGCTCGCCACCGGACCAACCAACCGCCTAACTTTCATCACCTGACCCCGCTCCCTGGGCGTGGCTATGGGCGGGGGTGTCGTAACCACGTGGGAAAAGACGAACGTGCTGCTGGTCTAGCGAGTACGTGGCCTCCGCCGGAGTATCAGCTTAGGCCTCGAAGAGAGGACCAGTGGATTCGGGCAGTGCGCGACAGCGACAACACTGTTTTAATGGCTTTTATTTGAAAGGGACGGGGATTCCGGAGGAGGAGGGGGAAGAGGGAAGGGGGTCTTTGTCACTCGAGAGCCCGCAACGCGAACTGTGAGCGCGTCGCTTTGTTCTCGGACAAAGCAGCTTCTCGTTCAGCGAGGAACCGGTATTCCGGCGTTGAGACAGGCAACGCGAACGTATCTCGCGATGCGGTCGGAGCGGGAACAATCTTCGAGCTGAACAGCGACCGAACGTCTATGCGGTATTTGAACGCGCCTGTGTGCGCGACAATCTCCACCGAGAACTGAAGTGGTCTTTTCATTTGTTTTTGTTAATTATTTATTTACTTAGAAGTAACCTTAAGTGGAAAACCGAACGCCGAAGAAGAATTGGCATTTCGATTCTGTGACCGTTTAGAACTTTATTAAAATACCTGGCCGTTTCAACCAGATGTAGGACGTAAAAAATATGAATGCGCCAAAAAATTTTGCTTTAGAGAAAATTGGCGCTATTGAATACTGATGATGATGTCTAGCTTCTCCGAAAGATGATGGGATTAAATATAAACTCGAATATTTGGAGGTTGTTATAAAAAAGATTGAAGAAAAACGCATTTTATATATCATTCTATCTGCGTTGCTCGAGTGAATTTATACTGTTTACATTGATTGGAAGCCTTGCCTTTTATGCGTTTTCTAAATACCTTTTTTTCAATTACGCTCAGAACTTTGTGGTAGCAGGACTGATTCAGTCTTCTTTGTTCATCCTTTTGCAGTTGTTTTTTTATCCAGATTCCGGCAATATAATTCGTGCAGAACCTGCAAATCGGAAAACATATTTTAGGCTAAATAGGTCGTTGCGTCTCAGCTGCTTGGTTGCTTCTGGTTAACAACTTAGGGGTTTTTGGGAGCATGGTGAAAACGGTCCTCTTTTGTAGGATGAAAAATGTACGAGTGAAAAACTCCAAAAAACTTTTATTCTGTTTAAAAAGAACAAAAAGACATACATTTTACTGAAATAAACTCCAAAAATAAAAAAAAAAGTTGTTTTTTTTTTTTTTAAGGAAAAAAGAAAAAAAAATAACATTCGAAACAGGCCAGGAAGCCGTCGTGTATGAATTCCACGGAAAGGTGACGAATAATGTTACCGATATATTATAGAAGTATTATGCTAAATTTTATTTCAGCAGCTGAAATTATCATCAGCTCTGGTCCGTTGCAGCAGATTAAAACACAGCTTACGCCACAACTGGAGCAAAACAACACCAAAGACCAGCAGATATCAATATTTTTTAATCAAAAGTTAATCTCCTTGTGTGTTGGGTGGAAGCGAATTTATTTATATAGAAGCAAACTCAATTTGAAATTCGCGAGACGCGTCCCTAGCCTGCAACAAGGCTCAGGTAATACGTGGTAGGCAATATCTGTAAGCAAGAACGAAACAAAAAAATGTCGCGCGGCATATTTGCTTTTTCTTAGTTTGCATGGACGCGCTCTCCACATCCCGCTATCTCTCATTTCGCGATGCGTTTCTGATGCTTTTGTTGCGTGCACTTAAGCCCTTCTTTCGAAATTGAGTTCTGATTCCTGGTCCCCCTTGACTTGTTTTGTTTACGCCCTCTGAACAGTTAATTACGGCATCGCGCCTTAGAAGCTGGTTTATCGTCAGGAGCACAATAACAGCCGGCCGTGTGCGCTGTCTCGCGATGGCGCACACTTCGCACGGCTTTCTTCTTTGGATCATTTATATTCCAAGTGAGAAAGCAATTTCACAGAAATAACAACTCCACCTCGTCGAAAATAAAGACACCGGACCTTGAGAAAGTAGCAGCATTTCCTTCACTGCCTGTTAGTCGGACACCAACAGATACTGACATACAGACGACGAAAACCTCGCAAGGTGATTGGCTGATCGGTGTCTGTTGCCGTAGAAATCGCCATTTTGGCCCCTTCCAATCTTCGAAGCTTCCAGAGGGAGCGTTTTCAGCCAGTCGCGTCAAGATCGCCATGGAGCATCGTCGTACTCAAGCCGTTCCTCTCCAATATACACGTCTTTGACACTGTGTATGCAATCAACTTATCAATCATGCCCATCTCCACGAACATCTTACAATCATATTGTTTTTCTTGCGTATATTTAAAGACAAGGAAATTATATTTCGATGCCTCCAAGCACTGATGCCGCATGTAGCGGCGGTACAATGTACGCTTGTTTTGCCGGTGTGTGGATAGCAACATTGCAGTGTAGAAAAAAAAAGTCTGTATAAATCTACCGGCCACCAGCGAAGTTAGGTCGGTTCACCAAGAAGGAAGAGGTCAAGGAGAACTTTCTTATGTTATAAACCAAAAATGGCGACCATACTGGGGGCTTGACGCTACTTTCCCAGGATTCGATTACTTTAGTCGAAATCAGAGCTCTTTCTTGGCGCGCACGCTCGCGCGCATGCGCATTCACACACACGCGCGCGCATACACGCACACACACACTCACACTCATCTACACACACCCGTACGCAGAAACAGGCACGCAAAGAGACAGGCACACGCTCGTACACACGCCTGCACGGATACACACTCGTACACACACATATATACACATTCACACACGCACAGACAAACTCATGTGACCGCACGCAGGAAAAGGCCGACAGGCAGAAACACACGCACAGACAAAAAGACAAACACACAGACACACACCCACAAACTCTCACACACGCACGCACGCACGCATGCACATACGCACACTCACACACGGCCGCGCGCGGGGAGGAGCACACAGGCACACACACACACACACGGACAGACGCGCGTACACACGCATTTGTACGCACACATGCACAAAGCCGCAAACTCACGCACGTCCGCACGTGAGAGAGGAAAACAGGCACGAACACGCACAGAAAGACAGTCGCACGTACACACACATGCACACGTACACATGCATGTAAACACGCGCACGCCCACGCGCACAAACGCACACATTGTTATATAACTACAGTGTGAATACGCGAATATGGCGTACAGCATGCGTTCATGAACCGGCAATACTGGATCCATGACAATTTAAAGCCTGAGACACGGAGAAATTATAAAACAAACAAGACGACAGGTATTGAATATTTGTTATAAAAAAAGCTCTGAAAGTTACGCAAAACCTTGGTGTGCCTTATTTTAATAGTAGCATTACTCTGAAACGAACTTTGTCTGGTATAAATATCAAAACCAGTTTGAACTTTTGTTCTCTTCTAAACGATGCAGGCTGAAGACTTTCGCTTGCCAAACGCGCGACAACGTTCTTTTTTAGAAACTTCAATTTCAATTTAGATGATAGCATTCAGTTCCATCAGCCAGATTAACATTGAAACTAAAGTATCCGGTATTTCAAATGAAAAAAAAAAAATCGGAAAAGGAAAGACTGAGGACTTTGCTTCTACGTCCTTATTGACGAGAGGTCGCATTTCGACAAAAAAGCTTCTCATGGGGATAATTTTGTTTTTAAGTTATCAAAGTATTACAAATAGAAACCTTACAAGAGTAATGTACGCAATGGATTGGCGAACGAATTTCTTTAAAGAACAATTTACTTGCGCTAAATTAAATGTTGACCTTTTTCACAACACGAAAGCGGACTTGTGGTGGAGGAATCAAAAGTATGTTAGGGCTAGTTGGTTGATGATCATTTTGGTTTAAAACGGCTCGATAAAAAACAAGGGAAAAGTGAAAAAAAAAATAAACACCCTATTGCGGCACTGCTTGATACAGTGTGGCAATAGAGTGTTTCGATACTTTTTTCTTTAATTCACAACATTGCTCTCATCGCCAGTCTGTACTCTGCCTGTAGAAAAGAAAAAAAGAAAAAAACATTTTCTAGACTTTGTACGGCGGCAAAAGATGTGCCGAACAACTTGGTCTCTTCGAAATAGCGTCTGGAGAATTGCGACAGGGCGGAAATTAAGGTCACACGCTCGTTATGCGCACCCAGCCATATATAAAAGCAAACAAAAGAGCTTACGAGCAAAGAAGGGCACAAACGACTTCAAAGAAGCGTGCCGCCGTAATGGTGCGAATTACGCATTTGCAAATTGCAAAGTTCCGGAACGTGTTTCCTTTTTTTGTTTTTCATTTGTTTCTTGTCTTATCGCTAGAAATGGGTATAATATTTCACAAGCCTGGATACTTACGTCGAAGGAAACTGATATCGCCCGGGAGTTTGACGCAGTGGCTTGAACGTTCTTGGGCGGGAAGCGAGGGGCTGCGATAAAGAGAAAAATAAATAAAAAAAAACGTGAATTGAGTGGAATGTTAGGCGCTGGACGGAGCCGTTTGATGAGAGTTTGTTCATCGCAGACTGTCTGATAACTTCGGTCTAACGCTCCGACGTCAACCTTTTTTTCCGGTCGGCGAAACACATTTTGATGGCGCCTTTTAGCGGACCGCCAACGAGAGCTGCGAGTTTTACGGGTTGTTTCTTATGCCCTGTACAGATAATAAGTTTGGTTCTTATAGTTTTATTCTTTAGCAGAAAGACGCTATAGTTACTGGAAACCTAAGAAATACGCGGCCTTGTGATTTGTTCTCGGGATTTTCCCCATCGGCTGAATCGTATTGGTTGCGAAAAGAAATGCGAAGATGGACGGGATTCGCGCATCACCCGGCGTTTCTTGAGTTGTCGTCTGTGAGTCTGTACAAGTAAACCTCGGGGGAGCGTTGGGACACTTGCAAAATATTATTGTCTATTTGAAAACGTTCGGACAGACAATAGACAGGTGACATAAAAACGTGTTACGAAGTTAATATTCTTAATCTCTCAGCGAAACGTTAGTTTTGATAAATAGCACTCTGGATGTATGCATGTGTTAATTCTCAAAACGCACCAACACACATACATCTATAAAAAAAATATATATATAAATATATATATATATATATATCTCGCAGGTGCTGTTCCTCTATATATATTCACTGGTAGTTGCAAAAAAAAAAAAAAAAGATTGGAGAGAAAGAGGCGAAGGTAACGTTCCCAACTTGTAGCGAGATGAAGGCATTAGATTTTCTTCCCACGCAATGGGGTAGTCACAGAAATGTATGCCTTCGTGATCTTTAATCGTATGATTTTCTGGGAAGCAGGCAGCTCGTCAAGCTTATTTTTCAGCTTTCGTTCCCCAACCTCCCCCAAAGGTTTTATGGGATACAAAGGAGTTATTAAAAGTGAGGAGACTGAGAACGCGGACCGTGTTTTGAGCTGCGCTGGATGTTTAATTGTGAGCTTTTCTGCACCCGGTAATCTGATATTTTTGGCGGGCCAATGTCTCTCACCCACAAAACTATCGGATGGCGCTATAGTACGACTGCGCGAAGTCGAGACAGAAACAAACATCCCACCCTGCGTGACGTCGTCGCGTGTTCCCACGTGTTTGCCCCGTCAGGGCAAGATCACGGGAGAAAAGCCGAGAGAATATTGGTCAAATAATCGCGTACCTTCGGCAAGACTGTCAGCAGCTCACGCGTAGACACAAAATAAACAGATATCGGAAAGGCCCTTGCCCCCCAGCTTGTTTTTATGTATTCATAAGAAGGAGACGACAAATTTATTCCTAATTTGCGCACGCTGACAAGCGGCAGCAAAAGCTCTCCTGGGGTTCCCTTCTTCTGTCTTTTTTTTTTTTTCCTTTTCATTATGAACCATAAAAGGCTAAACGTTACTTTTATTTAGCCTCTTCATTAGTCCGCGTTCGGCAGGACATAATTATTTCTGGGTGCCCTTTGAGCGCCATCTTTCCACGAAGCCAAACAAACATTGCCCGAAGTAAGGAAGAACAGAGCGGACAAATACCGGGCGCAAAAGGCAAACGGCGGCCGCCCGGGCAAACTTTCCGCGCCAGGGTTACGGCCTGGCCTCGAGTTTACTTTTTCCTTCGCAGCCGGGGCTCTCGCTCTCTCCTGCCCAGCGCAAACAATGGGTGACTGAGAACATCTGCGCGCTCGGTTTTAATTACTGGTCGCTGCCGAGAAGACCGGCCGCTCGGCGAACGCAAACACTCTGTCTTGGAAGCAGCGGCGATGGCCTTCTAATAACTAAGCTGAGTTGATGGAGGCCGGAGTTCTCTCTTTTTTTTTCTCCCCTTTATCCGGGGAAATAAGCGCACGAGCGTAAATTATTTCAGTGTTCGCTACAACGATATACATACGGCCGTTCTGCCTGCCTAGTCCGGGTCCTGGAATGCGGGTCTGTCTAAACTGGCCCGTATCTCAGGACAAGTGGATACGATCTTCGCTTCCTCATTTATGTCCAAACGCAAGACCTGGATTTCTTTTTTTTTAATTCTAAAATTGAGGCATGCACGTGGGTCAGATTGGCGTTAAAATACCGAAGTAAAATCTGAGAATTTCCGGAGCGTGAGTTTGTCCGCTTCTTCCGCAGGGATTGCCGTGACGTTAGAAGGCCGAGCTCCGATTGACTCTGATTGGAAGGAGATTTAATAGACCCCAAGGCATCTAGTGTTGAGGTCTACCCACTATACTTTCTATCAGAACCAATCAGAGCTCGTTGCGCTCTGACGTCCCTGCAACCCCTGCGCAGGAAGCGGACGAACTCGCGCTCGGTATAATCACTGGCAACTTAAGAAATGTCGGGCGTGGTGAACCCCGAGCATCATGTTCTCCCTTCGAAGCCAATCAAATTGCTGCCTTATCTGATCAAAAAAGGCAAACAACCAATCGCGAAACAAGGAGCGCGAGCATGATAATCGAAGCCCTTCCTCGTTTAAACTGCTAGTAACTCTAGGGCTAGGGGCCGTTTTGCAGTAACACTAGAAAAGAAAAGAATAAAAACAATATCCGAGTAAATTGTTTCCTGTGCTTGTTCAGACCAATGGGGGAATTAGTCAGCCCCAACGAGCGTTCGGTGTCCCCGCCGTAGACGAGACATTTCGCCAGTGCAGCGCCACTGCATGCTACCCTGGGGTATTTAACGTCCGTCACTCCGTGGAGATACAAACGACCACACGCAACTACAGTGAGCATCCAGACAGCACAGACAAGGTTGGGGATATACACCGAGAGTTCCTCTAGGTTCTGTGACGATGTCTGCTCTCAAAACCCAAAGAACCAAAAAAAAAAAGAAGAAGTATTCCGCGGCGAACCGTGTAAGATTAAAGGTCATGGCGTCGTACTTGGCGTCGTTATGTATATTTCGAAGAACCGCGCTTTTCGAGAGAAACTTGTTGCGAAGGCTCGCACAAGACTCTCTTTGGCGTTCGCTCGCTCGACTTCTAACTTTGCTGCCTTATCTTTTTTTTTTTTTTTATTTGGGGGGGAAGGGGGGGGGAAGGAGAAGTCGACGTAACGCAGCCTTCCCGAACGTGATCCGAATCTGGAGCCCGTGGCTGGTCGCGCTTTTTCTGGTGGTGTCTTGGCGTTGATCCTCTTCATGCCCTGCTTCTGGCGGCTATTTCGTACCATCAGGCCCTCCGCATGGGAGCAGGCAAAAGCACTGGCCAACCGGGTGGAAACCATTAGCGTGCGGCGGCGTGCCTTATTGGGTTAACATCTAACCCATGACTGGGCTTTGTAAGCGACCGTGGAACGGCAAACGGCAACAAGAGTGACAAGAAACAAAGAAAGACAGGGGGCAGAATGCAACTCAAGGCTGGCCTAGACATATGCGTTGACTGCCTTGCGTTGCGTTTCGCAACGGTTCATTGCGCAGCCGACGTCACTCGTACTTCTCCTCGCAGGCATCACTTGATATTTGTTTATTTTGTTCCCATCTCTAGTGTACCCCATTTTCTCGGCTCATCCGAGATGGTATTTTGCGTAGAATTATATTATATGTCTACTACCCTGTTCCATATGAAACTTCGCAGGCAACAAGATTGTCAACTCTTTTTTTTTTCGACCCGGCGAATATGTTAAATTTGGTGCATCGCACCGATGCAAAGACGTTAACGTGATGTTTAATTCTTGAGACTGGGTAGGAAACATGAAGAATATTACCTTTATTCTCTTTCTCCTAATATTATTTAAATTTCCTGCCAAACCTCAGGGTTTCAACATCACGATTAATACGCACCAGTTGACCAGCACGTTGACAATTTTTTTTTTGCTTTAACATATTCGCTCGGTCGAAAACATAGTGAATAGTCACTATGATTTATTTTTATAAGATCTGTTTTACTGGCAGTTTCCATTTCATCTTGCTGTCAATTTATTTTATCTGCCCATAGCAAGATCTTGGTAAAGCCAAAACCAAGAGGTGCTCTAAAACGGATATCGTCATAATTTAATAAAATAATTCTACACTATCTCGCTTCTAGAGCACACGTGGGAAAATGTATACATTTATGGCACCATCCTCGCTCAGGAAGTATATAACTGGCACAGTAGTACTCACCTAAAACCCATTTGAGTTGTGCTGAGTAGCACCATTATAAAATACTACAGTATAGAAATAATTGGTATAAAATGTGGTGTATTTTCACGCGCAACGTGAAACATGGAATTTATATTTCCGTGCAATGTATAAACACCCTTCACCCTACAGTTAAGTTCAAATTGTAATCAAAGTCTTGCGCGACCAGACGCGAGAAATCTGCTTAAAGCTAGAAGTCCTTTTCTTTCTCCCCTCAAAGCGCTTTATTGCATTGATGGTTCAGCTTTCTGATTCAGGGGATGGTACGCAGTAATACAGAATAATGTGAACAATCACGAATGATAGAGATTCCTTTTTCATGAAGTCGCACTCCTCGTTTATAAATTAAAAAGAAGCGCGTCGCTGCAGACACGAATAACAGAAATCCGTGGGTACAGGGAATTCTGTTCTTTAAGTTTCTTAAGCTAATTCTTTAAGCATCTTCGAAGCATGTTTGCAATATACATACGTATGCTTGGAACATGTCTCCAGAAAGGTATTGGATGACCAATATATTCCTCGTCGAAGGAAGAAAGACGCCTCACACAGTGGGGAGTTTCAGGGAACCGTTTTTGCACATCCGATACTCTAGGATGGGCCCCTCTGGTAGCAACTGCGCATGTGCAGATTTTCTGTTATCGCGCATGCGCAGTGAGTACCGGAGGGCCCATCTTACCGTACCGGATGTGCAAAAGCGGTTCCCTAAAACTCCCCATTTCTGCAGACTGTCTTTTGCACGATGTATGTGCGACGTGATCGCGGCTCAAGTGTTCGATGTACGAGGCGTTCTCTTTTATTCGACGGCAATTTCGTTCCTAAAGAAATGACAGGAAAGCTACGTTCTACACTGCGTGTTTATGAGACCATCTGGAAATGAGAGAAGGGTTACAACAATAGCGATCAGTGACCTAATACTGGTAGTCGTTAACTACATTTTGAAATATTGGGTTAATTGGTTGCGAACACGGTTTCTCTAGAATATCTGCTCCCGCTTTGTTCTCGACTTTTGATTCTATAGACATTTTTTGTTTGATTTCGTTCTCAGTCTCGTGGGTTTCGTATATGGTGAGCCGGACACACAAATAAGAAAACATTGCAACCTGGAATATGCGAAAACATATAGGTGAGGCAAAACAAGAATCTGTGACGATCACGTATTTTTCGTAAACACCTTCCAGTGGCGTGGAGAGATCAAAACAATGTTTCAGCCCATACCAGAATTGATGAAATTCAAGATGGCTGAGCCCTTGTGGGAAAGGTGTATACTGTTCGTAATTCATCTAACTTCAGGGACATCATGTGCGCACTCGCCTATGCACTCTACATTGAAAGTTTTTTTTTTTTTTTTTTTTTTTTTTTTTGCAGTAGTTGAGTATTTTTTGTTGAAGCGAACCGGATGCACAGGCATGCAGCATTGCGTGTTTTATTTTTTCGATCAAACTTAAATATTCTACACTTTTAGGTAAGTTTCACGACACAAAGCTTAGCATTCACCTCTATGTGGTTCTAAGTAATAAAACGAGCGCTGAAAGATGGACTGGCGAACTCACGTTCTTGGGACGTGGTAAACTCCGTAACGACGCTGAAGTCGCTGTTTCCAAAGACGTTGTCCGCCCTGACGCGGAGCTGGTAGGCGGTGGTGGGTAGCAAGCTCCGAATAGTGGCCTTGGTCTCCATCCCCGACACCGACATGGTGTCCTGCCACAGCCCTGTGGCACGGCACAAAAAACAGAATCAATCAATATCTGCACATAATGCTGACCACCCCTTTTTCGTGTTTATTCTTTCCAAATGCTTAATCTTAGATTACGGTTTTTTTTGTTTTTTTTTTTTTTCTTTTTTTATTGCTTGGATCTATATCGCGGCGGAATCATGCACAGAAACTTATTTCGCGAAGAATACAATTTTTAGAAGAAAATTTTATTTATTTCTTGTTTAGAAAGTTAAATAAATTTGATACAGCCATTCACATGGCAGACATGAACCCTCTTGTTTTACGAAAATTTAAAAATCCTTTATACAGAAGACTCTTTAAAAATCGGCGAACCAAGGCATGACGACTGGCACGTGCACAACCGAGATCGCTATCTGATTTTCCTATTCTCAAAATGCGTTCCCTCTCAAGTCCTTCAAAAAGCACGAAAAACATAGACATGAGGCGTTTTGATTGTAAGGCCAAAGGCAGCATTAATATGAACTAGTAAGAGTAAGCTATTCACACACAAAGGCATCGTTCTGAACAATGCTTTCGAGCTTTATAAAATTGAATATGGGCGGTTACAAAATGGCGTGTTTAGTAGGGATTTCTCAGTACGATTAGGAAGGTCGTTTCCTCGGGTGTTACCATCTGCCGTCTTCCAGTGAAGAACGTATTGCGTGATGGCCGAGTTTCCGTTGAAAGGCGCAGACCACGTGACCCTCGCTGTCCGACTACCGACCTCACGGACGTCCACGTCAGCCGGAGCATCAGGAACATCTGGGCAAAATGTACAGGAGTCAAGAGTGTAAGTCATACCAAGAACCGTCTTGTGACTATAGTCGTCCGTAGAAATTTGGAAAAGAAGTCACGAGGAATAGCCGCTGTAAAGCTCAGTACTAGGGATACCGGTTAGTACAGTCAGCGACACGTCTGCTAATTTTTGCCGAACGGTGTGCTCCAGAACAAGAGCATAGGCTGCAGTGTCGATAATTATAAACAAGCACAAAACTAGATAAAGCAGTGTGCGGCCAGAGCAACTGTTCGCACTAACTTTGTTTCAGCTCCAGTCCGAGCGCAGTCAAATCATAGAAGAGATACAGCCTGTGCACACATACTATTAATTAAGCATACAGTCACGGCGAACCCTCAGTGCCTAGTTGAACAATCCGGCCATTAATCTCTATAATGGGGGGGTTGGATAGGGTATAGCCGCCCTACAAACAAGGCGTAAGTGAAGCCACCAAAAGTTCGATGCTTGTCCCGGAAGTTGGTCGTCTGCTGGGCTTTCTAGTGTATTCTGTCGATGTTCTGGTACATGCTTTCCGGTGTCTTTGATTGGGTTTTAATCATCACGTTCCGATTTAAAGGCCGAGAATAAGTCAATTGAATTTCCGACATATGCACACATGATCAACAAGAATCTCGAAGGGTTTCCAATGAACGGCTTCCCAGGATCCATCTCGGGTCTGCATGCGCTCTTACTGCGCAACTAGCGGGCTCTCTTCAGGTGACAAGCGAAAATCCGGCGCCCTCGACGCTTTTCGAACCAGCGCTCGGAAGGGTTACAAAGCCTGACAAGCGCTCACCTCCGGGACAAGCCGCTCACTTCCGGTGGCTTCATACCTGTTCGCTGAACGCGCCATCAGGCCCCCAATTGAAGAGCGGTGGAGCCGGCAAATAAGCAGAGACACAAAGACGGCGAACGACGTGACGTTGCGCTTTCAACAATGCTCAGTTGGCCCCTCGGCTCGTACCGTCAGCTGCGCTGGGACTTCAGGACAAAAAAAGTATACGCGCCGGTAAGTTCCAAAAATAGCTTCACCAAGATCCCGCTATTCCCCTCAGCCATCCTTTTCGTCGCCGTGCTTCTCTATACTGACAGTCATCCACCTCGGGCGGGGCTTTCTAGCCTGACTTCGCAATTTATACTATAATGATCGTGGACGCTTCGAAAGGTTTTCTAAGACACGATAGTCAGACGTTTATAGCCGCTAATCTACAACCGGAGCTATGATCTGGACACTTGTCGGCGCCAACGTCAAGCGAGGCGCCGGCCAATTGCGGCCGCCCAATTCCTCGCCGACTTTTTTTTAGCCCAGTGGCACGACTAGGGCCCCGAAATGCCTTCGTTGGCTCTGGTTCCTCGATGGTTACCTTCAATTTAGGCAACGCAATACGCGACGGATTACGTTCAGGGCTTCGTGATTTGATCTGGGGCGTTCTTAAAAGCTCATGCCACAAGCTTATCATTATCTGATAACAACAAAACCTCCAGCCTCTCCGCCCTCGTGAAGAATAAAGAACAGCGGAGCTGTATTTCGTGCCGCCATCAATGAACTCTGGCGGCAACCAGACAACAGGCAAGCCGATTGTCTGGTTGCCGCCGTTAATCAATGGCGGTAACCGTCCAGAGGGTTGTGCCTAGATTTATTTGTCCATGGACACGAAACTGGGGGAATTAGCCATTAACAGCTCCGCTGTAAAAGCTAGAAACCAACCACTTACTACGTTTCTAAAGCTCTCAGCTGCTACGGTAACTTTATCCGTCGGCCTAACGCGCGTTGGGGTTCATTAGTCTGCGTGTTAGAAACTACCGACGGGGAAACCGCGATTGGTACTAGAAACCGCTTCGATCACTGTCACCTAGAACCCGCCTCCGGCTGCCTCTCCAAAGGTAATCCCCCATTCACTTTTTTTTTAATTTTTTTTCCTCCTGACACGTGTCTAGTAGGTGCAACAACCACTCCGCCTCTTGCCAGTAAGCTCGAGACCACGCATCTTTGTACATCCTAATTGTGTGGGCCAAGATCGAAATCCTTTTTTTTTAAGTATTCAGCATCCTTCAGTCCTATTGTTGAGTACTTCATTTTATTTGTATATGTCTTTCGTTAAATCAAAGACCCCACCACTTCACATATCTCTGCAGAGAGAAATAAAGATAGACACAATGACGCAACGCAACGCATCTTAGGTTGCAAGACCGTAGGGTTACATTTTCAACGTCCCCTAAACTGGCCAACGAGGGGCACGAATTAAGCGCGGGTTTCGGGTTCCGTGTTTTCCTCTTTAAGGGACGGGAGAAATTCAGCCTTGCGGCCTTGTTATGCAAATTTTGTTGCGCAAGCACCCGCCTCCCTAGCATACCAATAGATCGATCTCACTAAGCGCTCCAGGCATGCCCGACGCCACCATAACTGTAGTTCACAGGAGGCAGCTACCAGTGCACGAGACAGCTTGTACGATCTCGTCCTCTGGACACTCACCCCTCACTCTGGGTTGTCGCGCCCGCAGGGAGACTTCACTATGGTGACCATTCGCGGTGAGGTGCTCACTACGGGCGCTTCTGTTTTTTTTCCTCACTGTTGGTAGTGCACGTGGTACCCACGCGAATATGCTTTAATTTTCATAGTGCATAGAAGCTTGGCATTGCACGTGCTTGCGCCCGCAGAAAAAGTTGAAGTATCCTCATTGGGGGTTGTAAAACAATTCCGCAAGGTGGCGATACCCAAACGTCTAGCCTCGAATAGGTGCAGGTGTTACGAGCGCCTTGCGTTCTTGGGTAGTTCCACGTGCCGCCGCTTTCTGACAACAAACGTAGCGCTGTGGTCAGGATACCGGTTCAGCGGAGGAGCAACGAAACTGGCTGGTGAGATCAGTCTATTTATCCAGGCATGGGACTTTAGAGCCACGAACTCTCTTTCTACAGGGAAATTTACTTATTTATTGAGTTTAAGGTACTGTTAACCCTTCTTGGAGTCATTACAGGAGAAAGAAAACAAATATACAGTAATAAACAGCAGTAGGGAACAAGAAACACCGCATACATAAAGCATAATTTGCATTCAATAAAAAAACATAGACGAAGCGAAATGCATACTAGTATTATTACAATGACTACAGTGCATGATTAGAAAACGCACGTTCACTATTTAGTAGCAACAAGAAAAGCTAGTTTCACAGGATCTTCGAATTATTTAAAAAATTTTAAGGGAAGACGAGTCCAAAATTTTGTGCGAAAGAAGGTTTCCTTTCTCTATTGATTCAGGAAAAAAGAAAATAGTGAAGTACATGGATTCTGCTTTGAAATGGCTTGATCAGTTTGGAATGCCTATTTCTTAAAACGCGAGAAATACGGTTTTTATATACTACGTCTAGTACATGTTTATGATACATCATGAACATGTACAGGGTGTCACAAAACAAATTACAGGGTTTTTTTCGCCGCAAAAATAAACTAGGCGTCGCTGAAAACTCATTCTCCGCCCAAATGTAGCGCTAGAGGTCACAACCAGATGCCAAAGTTTCAGCCCGATCCGATAACGTAATCGAAAGTTATAAGTGTATATATATTTGACAGCTTGAACCAGGGGAAGATATAGAGAAATTGAGACAGGAGAGAATAGACAGCTGACTACCAACGATTATTTAGTGGGAACTTCTTTTTCCTTGCGTGTTTTCAGACACCAACAAAAATTATTACATATTAAATCCTATTATACTAATATAATAATGCATGTGTATGTTTACAAAATTTTCACATTACCTAAACCTAAACTAATATTTTAAATTCACCCGCCACAAGCTCATACTGCCATTTTCTGGACCGTGACGCACCGTAGATATTGTCTCTCCTTTTTGTGAATAGTGATGGACGGGGTGCTGACGCACCCACTCGCTTGTTCTTCGATAGCAAGCGCCTCGAGCATCTCGCGCACATGAGTATTGTTATTACTGGCTAGGATGGTTATGTGCTTGAACGCTGCACTGCAGTGGCAAGTCCTGCAATGAGCTGCAAGATGCCCTGCCGACGTTCCTTTAAGGGATGCTGCGTGCTCGCGGGCTCTGTCGTTAATGCATCGGCCCGTCTGGCCGATGTAGCAGTTCCCGCATGAAAGGGGAATGTTGTAAACCGCTCCTGTCATGCATGGTACATATTGTGTTCTGTGGGCAATGTCGCACTTCATTACTGGCCTGTTACGACGACTAAACCTTTTACCTCTTTTCGACCGGAGCAGGAATGCCAGACTCAAGTAAAGGATGTCACAAAAAAAAATGTACACGTTCTTTTTACCGCAAACATAAACTGCGCATCACCGAACGCTCATTCTCCGCCCAAAGGTAGAACTAGAGGTCACAACCAGATGCCAAAGTTTCAGCCCGATTTGATAACTTAATCGAAAGTTATAAATGATTTTCTAAAAATTTCAATGGAAAAATGGAGCCCATTTTTGTCCGTTTTCGGTTTCTGGTGCCCCCATAGAGCCCCGTGTATTCGAAAACTCCGCCCGCCCCCATTTTCCCATTGAAGTTTTCAGAAAATCATTTATAACTTTCGATTAAGTTATCAAATCGGGCTGAAACTTTGGCATCTGGTTGTGACCTCTAGTTCTACCTTTGGGCGGAGAATGAGCGTTCGGTGATACGTAGTTTATTTTTGCGGTAAAAGAGACCATGTAAATTTTCTTGTGTGACATCCTTTACTTGAGTCTGGCATTCCTGCGCCGGTCGAAAAGAGGTAAAAGGTTTAGTCGTCTTAACAGGCCAGTAATGAAGTTTGTTCGTTTTGCCTCCCGATAGAGTATACCGAGCTGCAAGTATCTGTACATTCTCCAATTTGTGAATGTGATTTTTCTGGTTCGGGGTTCCATATTACATTTGCGTACTCTAATAGTAGACGTATGACTGTTTTGTAGACCACCAGCTTGGCGCTGGTAGTTGCATTCTTAATTTTTTTTCAATATCCTAGTGTACGTTGAGCAGAACATTATATATTGTGGACATGACTCTCAATTCAAAATTATTTTCAATAGTTAAACCCAAGTATTTGTAGGTATGTGCTGCTTTCAAAGGAGACCCGTTAACTGTATGTGCATAAAATATATTTTTTTTGTTATCCTTAGAAGTACAGTTTTGTGAATATTGGCCCAATTTTATGTTGAGCGTCGTCTAGGTTACCTTGATCCTTCCTGTGAACGGGCGGAGTGTTATATAGGTTGGAGAAGCTATGAGGAGCTTAATGGATCGATCTCACCAAGCGTTCCACGCATGCGTGACGCCGCCATAACTGTAGTTTGTAGGAGGCAGACGCCAGTTCACGAAACTGCTCATGCCGCCTCGTGCTCTGCTCGCATAGACTTCCAGCAGGGTTGTCGCGCGTGCAGAAAAACTACAGCTCCCACGATGCATGGCGGCAGCGGTGGCGTACTCAAACTAGCTGGTGAGATCGGTCTATTGCGCGCGAAATAAGCGCGACAGAAGGTCTTTAGCGCGCGGTATAGCCAACGCAACGAAGCCTTCAACAGCCACGGCACTGTGCCCTAACCCTTTCAAAACCTTAGGTAAAACTGAACCCTCTTGGTACGCAACTTATACGAATGTTTTTGCCAATCAGGCTGCTTAAAGCCGTGATAAGAAGCGCAGAATGAACGGTGTATTTTGATTACCTATGTTCTGACTAATCAAAACAAATTTGTTGGTTTTACATGCTCGACCAACGGCGGGCAACTGGCAAACCCCAGCAAAAGCCTGATAATTAATTTCGACTCCCTGGGCCGGTTTTCTCGAAGCGATGGTAAGCCCATTTTGGTAAACCACGGTGCCTAGGAAGGGAAAAGTACCTAGGTACTGTAATAAACGGCTGGATAGAGAACAACAATAATTATTTTTGATTGGGCAATAAGATGCGCCATCTATCGTGAAACAAGCCAGTCATTTTGTTTATCTTTTTTTCCGCTGGTTGTCATCGATCTAGTATGGTATTTTAAGTCAAAATATAGTAATGTTGTACTTGAAGACCAATTTATTTGCTTCCGATGGTACGAAGAAATTTTAGCTACTATGCTAGAGTTTGTCGACGAATATTCGAAAATGTAAAAAACATTTCCTTCAATATGTTTCGCCATAAACAACGCATAATTTTCCCGTGTTTCTTCCAGTCCGGCAACGCCGGTGCTGTAGTCTCGTTTTCGTTCCTTGCGACGCACGTTTCTGCGATTCCTGCTGATCTCAACTGTCTGCCCTCTCTTCCGTTTGCCCAACCGATTCACCGGTGACGAGAAGGTAAGCTTCTCGTCACCGTTGAATTGCTGGCCACTGGGGATATGTAGAAAGCTCAATGCTGTCGGCATACTGACGGCGCACTGTGAACAAAAAAAGAACAGTACAATGTCTCAGCTGTTCACCCGGAACGAAGACTTTATTGAGAATAACCCCATTTCTCCGCAAAATAATCGCTGCTCACGAGTTGGCGTGCATAGTGTAACAAATTAAACGTCTTAGTATAAATATGTACCAACACTCGTTCGCAAAACATTTTTTTACTCACCATAACAACACTTGCAAGGCTTATGTACCGTCATTAGTCTTGGATCCCGGGGGGCTATGTTGCGCTTTTTGCACTCCCAGGAGACTAGGGAGAGGGAAGTGACGTCAACGACACAGCAAGCGCAGATTGGGTGTTGATTTCGTTTTCTTCTGTCAACACCCAATCTGCGTGTGCTGTGTCGTTGACGTCACTTCCCTCTCCCTAGTCTCCTGGGAGTGCAAAAAGCGCAACATAGCCCCCCTGGACTGCTGAAGAGTGATGCGTTCGCGGAATGCTGCCGTCGGTTAGTTTAGTAGTCCCTCTGAACTATCGCTTTGCTTGACGTGCTAATAGGTTGATGGTGGGTCATTAATATAACAGCCAGATCGAAATGAATGTTCAGCAGAACCAAGCAGAACTATTAGCCCTCATTAAGCGACGCCGCGGCCATTTTGCTTCTAGGTACTGCTCCTCCCTCGGCGCCCCTGCTCTCCCAGTCACGTGACCTGGAATTCCCCCTTCTAGGGACAATAGTTAACTTTAAACCACGGTTCGCGTTCGAGAAAACGGGCCCTGGTGACCTTTTAACATGCAACCTAAAAACTCGGTTACCCTGCGCCTTCTCCGCAATCCTCTTCCATTAGATTGCGGGTAGCTTGGCCGGCACTGGACCCCGTCAAGCCAGCGCTTTTCCTCGAAGTCCCTGGTGTGGCCAAAGTGCTGAGTAGTTGTTTTAAGATTCCCGATGCTACTCTTTGCACACACGCTTTGAAGCGCAAGCACGAGTTCAAAGTGCAAGCACGAGTTTTCAATAACAATACATGTTTAAAAAATATCCCAAAGGGCCTAAATATTTAAAAGCATATAGAGTTATTTGTTTTAATTGAATTTTTACGTGTAGTTCTCCGCAGTGTTTGAAGTAACTACTGGCCGAGATCCTCGCTCAGATGCTTCTTCACGCTTATGGTTCCACTTCTCACCAAACAGATGCGCCAACGGCAGCCACGATTTGTCATTTCAAATTTGCTTGTCCGAGGCTGTGCGCGTCGAGCTAAACTGTCATCACTTTTTTTCTTAGGGGAAAGAGAGAAATGTTGGGAGGAGGAAGGTGATGGGAGAAAAAAAGGTGGGGCGGGGGGGGGGGGGGGGAGGGAGGGTGTGAATGTTCTGCAGTCTCTATAGTCTAACATGGTGACATTACCGTTGCCCTACCGTTTAATTTTCTCTTGTCGTCTTTCCTTTTCTAGTCACAACTTACGCCCTACGTTTTTTTTCTTTTCGTGTAGTACCCTCTCACGTTGAAAAACTTCCTCCCCCTTCAGCGCCATTTTTGTTTCTCATTTCGTTTTGGTACAATCAGCCATTGTGCAGAGAGCTACTCCCAGAATGACGAGAGAAAAGGCGAAACGGCAGCAGCCGACGAGACACAGAAGAAAGCAAATATCGCGCGTTCCTGTTACTTGTCGGCGAGAAACTGTGCCTTGTCACAAGGGAGAAAAAAAAAAGAAAGAGGTGTTCTACAAAGAGAGGAATATAAAAAGAGAGGAAAAAAGAAACAGCGAAAGTCACCCGGGGCAATAGGAATAATAATGTCCTTCTTTTTTCACTCCGCTTCCCGGTTCGCGCGTCCCGTAATCTTGTTTCGCGGGGAATTCTTAATTGCGTTCTCTGTTTCTCTAATTAGCGGTGACGTGAAAACAAGGGGCTCTTGAAACAACGCGGTTGCGAGACAAACGCGAAAATCAAACCTGAATCTCGTTACCAAAAAAAAAAAAAAAACGTTTTAATGATAACACACACTGTGACAAGAGTATTAAAAAAAAAAAAAAAAAAAAAAAGATCCTCCCGAGTGAAAAAATCTGGAGTAAAATGAAAACCAGAAATAAAACATGGTGATTGAGCGTTCTAATCAAAACTTTTAGCGAAGAACACAAGGAAGAATGTTGAAAACGAATAATTGAATCAGCCGGTAATTGCATTACGGTAACCGAAGTGTAGTGATCACGCTTTCCGTCGTTTGATAGTTTTAGGAGTTTCTCTTTTTTTTTTTTTCCTGCACTCTCGCTGCCTCGATTGGCTCTTTCCCGGAATAAGTTAGCTATCAAAACTTGGTTAGGTCGAGTGTGTGTTAAGCATATTTCATCAATCTGAAATAATAAAAAAAAAGCCCTCTGATATTATCGGTTCCTGTGTTTCGAAGTTTGTTAGTACACGCCTAGACGAGGCCCATAACGCGTCGAATCACGCCGCGATCGTTAGCTTACCCTGCACGGTGAGCTGTACATTGGTCGAGTCTTCGCCAAACTCGTTGGCTGCCTGACAGGAGAACACGGCGTTGTCCGACCTCTCTGCTGATTGGATGGTAATCTTTGAGACCGTGACGTCATCGCTGCGGTCCTCCATTCGCGAGTACCTGAAGAGCGGATGGTGAAAAGATATACCCGGGTGAAGAGTTAATAGCTCCATATGGAAGACGACATCTCCTTACGTGGACTCTATCTCAACTTGTGAAAGTTGCAGAACCTAAATCACTGTTTTGTACGCGAAGCACATGAATTGATCATTGAATAGACCCGGTTCTTAGCAACCTGACGAGAAGTTAGACTCGACACTTTAAGGGTGAAGTTAACTACGATCCTGATTTTACTTGAAACGCCCTAAACCATTCCAGCCAAAAAGTGTAGAAAGTACCTAAACGTAGGTTCCTTGTAGTGCGGGTTTTATTTTAAGCTCCCAAGAAAAAAAAAAGTAATTGCCCCTTTCCGAAACTTTCGGCTCCATTTAACGGAAAATAAAAAAAAAAAAACTATTTCGACGATATAACGAATATTTTAACTAAGCATTACGCTTATCATGTTGTTACAAGCATTGCAGAACAAAATTGCGATGCGTTGCTATCGTAACGCCGGACTGTCTTCGGCTACACACAGTTACCCACTCTTGACACAGTCCCGTAAGCGCCTCCGAAAATGGCCGCGCGGATAGGCAACCTCGTAAAAGGCCCTTTTATACTGCAACACAACCAATATGCGCCACAATTGATTTCTCTTATCGACGTAGTGCTTAGGTGAATGTAACAAGAGAGTGTAAAATAGTTGAGGTGGGTGTGGGTACACGCCCGAGGCTGCTTCATCGATGTCGGTTTGTTCACCTGTGCTCCTTGAGGATGTTGAGCGGAAGGTTGTTCTTGAGCCAATGAAAGCGAATCGGGAGGTCCCCCTGCGCTGGGCAGGACACCTCCGCTGTCTCCCCTCGCTTCACGGCCACCGTGGTGAACTTGGCCGTGAATCTGGGAGCGCCTGAAAGAAGCGAATCAAAACAAAACATTCACCACCAACAGGCTTTGCCTTCTTTTTGATCGATCCCGGGCTCATGTCTTGGGACCGTACGATGGAATTTGCAGCTGATTTTTTTCTGCCTCACCACACATCAAACGACGACGTTGCTCGTCGATACGAGCCCGGCAGGACGAGAGAATAAACAGAACGTTTTCACCTAACCTCGGAGTCGGTCGCACCATCTCTTCCGTCCTCACAAATTGAACGCGCTGCACAGCGTCTGCCCCTTTGAGCGTCATTCTGGGAAATATGCCGAGGGTACGGTTTACATATTTGTCGGATTTAAATCTTCCGTGCCTTTTGTATTGTGTACCGTAATGATTGTCTTTTGATACCAAGAAATTGGTTCCTGCATGCGGCAGCCACTACAAGATTATATTGTTTTGTTTACGTAGAGAAAATATAAAGCCCCACGGCCATTTTGCTTCACTTAAAGGGCAGGTCCGGTCAATATTTCTGAATTTGAGATTACGACTTTTTTCAGCTAAAGCATTGTCCCTCAATAATAAGCTATGATTTATTTCTATATTGCATGTAGTTTTAACAATATCGCGACTCAAAGTTTGGTTGCGGGCGTCTACGGCAAAACCGAAACTATCTGCTAGAGGGATTGCAACACTGATCATCAGCCGCGCGGCCGCGACATGACGTCAACGTCATGCTGCGATACGCGGTACAACCAATCAACCGCAGCTCCAACGCGACGTGGCGTCACAGGGGTTCTGCCCCAGTGTTGCTTGACTAACAGCTAGCCCGCTTGCCACCTGCTAAAGAACAGCTGATCGCATCTTTGAAATCGGTTTCAGGGGAGCACGCGGCATCACTTCCACGTAATATTTTTTTTTACAGTTTCTTTAGACAATAAATTTTGTCTGCAGCATTAATATAAACTACCAGATGGTCTGACGAGGCCTCTATGCCGCTATAAAACAGGAATACAACAATTGATCACTGTCGGCTGCGATCATAATTTCGTGCCACAGAAGAAATACCAGTAATTAAGTATGGTTTCGTTTTCAACCTGAGTTGTCCTTTAATATTTATTTTGATTGTTTGCATGGACACCCAAAACTCGCCTCAGCGACTTTGAAAGGTGATGTCCTGAGATGAATGACCGTTGAAACAACGTAGGTTTTCGTCGACACCTCTGGCTTTCCTGAATGCTCTGTCCCAATACCAAAACTATATTACGATACTTGAAGTCTAAGAGTATAAAAACAATTTCAGGAACTCTAAAATGCAGTTTTTACTTGGAGGCTCTCAATGAAAACACGAAAGTGCAAGAGCTTGACGAGAGCAGCAAGTAACAAATGTGGATCACTTCCTGAAATTAAGCGATAGCGCCTCTCCCTCTCGCAACGTTGCGTGTCACTCTCAAAACTGGTTCCACGGTTCTACGGACGTATTTACAAGAAAGATAATGTTGACACCCTCTGTTGAGACAGGCTCTTGTTCCGTTAAGACCCGAGGCACCCAAGCCCGCAATTGTTTCTAGCTGTCCATCGCTCCTTCGATAGTGATAATATTTTCTCTCCGACTATTCTTATTATTATTATTATTATTATTATTATTATTATTATTATTATTATCATCACCATCATCATCAGCAGCAACAGCTGCAGCAACATCATCCTGAGTAGTTTCCCCACAATCTGCCAAAGAAAACGTTGAATATCTTGCCGCGGACACCTGGGCTTATTGTGTCAGAACGAGTCCTAGCATAGGATATACTTTAATAATAGCGGAGCGCAACAGGAAGCTCTTTTGAATGGCGCGAACAAGAGGAAAGGAAAAGAGTTACAAGTTTGTATGGGTCCGCCGTGGAAAAATATTATCTCGAAATAGAGCCAGGGTTCTTTTTTTCTCATCACGAGCATCAATGCACTGGCGCAAATATAGCGTCTATGAACAGTTTTGTTTAAGCTAAAAAAAAAATAAACTAGAATCTTGTAGAGACACTTTCACCGCAAGGACATGCAATAAATTCACTTTATTACATGTTATTTTCCGAATCATTCGAAAGCACTCGGGTGAATTTCGGCTATATTCATTGATTCAGTGCGTTTTATCGTTGATGTATTCGTGCTGATTGAAATTAAAATCTATGATACAGATGGAAGCCACTTTTAGTTTTTCCGGGATTTAATATAAACTTTTATACGCCTGACAGAAAACTGGGGGCACTATTGCGGTATATTTAAAGGATGATTTGCCTTTTTCGGAGGTAAAGCTTTCGTTCCGCTCATATGAATCCATATCTGTTCCTATACTTAACTGAGTCAATGATTTGTAGTTGCTAGCCTTCTATATGCCGCCTTTCGAAGATGTTTTTGATTTCCTTTTCGAACTGCGAGAATGTTTCCAAAACTTGCCTGATAACACGTCTTGGGGGAGATTTTAACATTGACTTATTGAAACATTCAAGAACACTGCTTCGTAAATACTTAACTATTTTTCCAGATCACGAATTAGGACATGCAATTCTTGCCCCAAAAGGGATTAACTTCCGGAGGAGAGACTTGTAATATCAGTGAATGTCCATATCAAGTTTATGTCTTCAACGTAGCACTCATAACACTCAAAGCAGGGCGTTTTCGGAGAAGATCGAACAGCCATACCCGGTGGCTATTTTTCACTTTGATGAAGAAAAAAAAAACATTTTGATGGCTTTATGTCCAGAAGAATAAAACCAATCATTGTTTTTCCAAATAATTTTTTTCTTCCCGAAAAAAATTTGTAGGCACCCCTCAGTGACGTGCGGGTTTTGCGTATCACGCAATGTTGACATTTCAGGCGGCTTCCCTCAAAAAACTGTTCTGACTACGGGTGTAGAAATATTCACTGACACATTAGGCATGGGAAGAATTGCGAAAAAGTATTAATCCCCGAGTGTTATGGTTGTTATTATGAGAAACAAAAATTGCAAAGACGGCACATTGAGCAATAACGCTCTGGATTAAAGAATATTGTTCTCCGTATCTATAAAAACTAAGGTCTTCAAACTCTGCCAGTGTGTTGCCCTCTATGTATTTTATCTTTGCGTGAAATATTGTTGTCCTGGTTGGCGGGAAAAATTTACAAGAATTGCTCACACAGGGGCATTTAACTAAAAAGGCATTTTTTTTAAATCATTTAAAAAAAAATCTTTAATATTTCTTTAAACTCTCTAAAATTAAATTTTATGATATGTACTAACAAAGTCTACAAAAACATAATGCATTATTTGTGTCGCTTCAAAGTTATAAAGCGAGAAATACGGCCTAATCGACACTAATGCGGTTGCCATAAATGGGGCGTGCATACCCTAGTTCTTCACAATTTCATTATTACCAAAAAGCGCAAAAATGCTACTGGGTGGTCAGGAAACGACAAACTAAGAGCACAGAGGCGGACTCTAGTTTTGAAGGGATAATTCTTAATACATTTTCGTACAACCGACCCAAAAATGCCCATTGGCCAAAGCGGTCGAGGTGCGCAATCCTGTAACATGCTTCGCTGCGCCTGTTTCAACAGCCGACGTATAGCGTCTTCATCTATGCGATGTACAGGAAGCCACCGGAGCGACTTTGCAAACAGATCAGCGTACAACCTTGGCGATAACACGATGTAGGAGGTAGGGCGGGGCGGAACCTGAACCTTCGCCGCCTGTGAGCGCCAATGGATCCACCACCGTGGAAGGCCGCCCCACGCGTAGAAAATAAAGATACATAAAAAAAAAAAGAAAAAGAGTGGCGATTGAACGAGAATGTCTGTAAATTAGTTTATAAGACAACGGATTGTAGAATCGTAAAATCCAATTTGGGTATCATCATGTGAAGTACGTAAGTGATGGTGCAGCAAGCCACTTTAAGAACAAGTACCAACTACACGAGCTGTAGAACACGTCAGCGAGGTGCATTTCTTCCGCAACGTGACATGGCAAGAGTGCCTGTGATTGAATCGGGAGTCGTGTCAAGCACCAGGCAACGTTGTACAGCATCTGACGGCCCACTGAGTTGGTGATGAAGTCGGCGTCAGTGGTGGTTGCCTTAAGGGGAGGAGAAGAGGCGGGGATCAGGAGGAGAGGAGGAAGGGATAGGAGGCGAGGAGGAGGTGAGGAGGAAAGGAGGGGAGGAGGACGGAAGGAGGAGGAGAGGAGAAGGATTCGGAGAAAAGGAGGGGATGAGGAGGAGAGCAGGAGGGGATAGAGGAGAGGAGTAGATGAGGATGATCAGGAGGAAAGGAGGACGGTAGGAGGAGAGAATGAAGGGAGGATATGGAGGAGGGGCATACCCTCCTCTCCGTACCCTCCCTTGTCCTCTTGAAGATATTGTAAAAGCTTGTAAAAGTTTCATTAACACTATCTAACTTGACAATATTAACGCGGCGTTTTTTCTATTCTTTTCTCGTTCGGATTGTGCGGCGGGGTGATGTAGCTGTTTTGCTGACTTTTTGGAACAGGCGGTGGGCGGTATGATTGTGCGGATTTGGCGGCACGCCCTGTCTCTGTTGAACGAGACTAAGTGCGTGCATGGCGATAGCAAAGTTGGAAGCTTTCAATAAAGTTTAGTTGCCAGTTAGCGTTTGTCCTGTGTGCTTCTTCGTCTTTTTGTCCCGTCTCTTTTGCGCTATTTTTAATATGAATGTCTCTTGAAGATCTGCGCTCTAATTTGAGATTAGAGTGATTTGTGAACGTCCTTAATTTATTATTAATATTATTATTAGTAGTAGTATGACGATGTTGGTGGTGGTGGTGATAATTATGATGATGACGATGACGATAATGATGATGATGATATGGGCATGTCAGCACCTCCTGAATATCAGGGCCGTAGTACTGAAATTCCTACGTCCTCTACCGTAGGCCAGCGCGGAGCGTAGATTGAACATTATTGACCAGTGTCTGGCTGGGACTCGAGTTCTCACTGACGGAAGTCCCAGTCTAACGCTGGCACAGCGCAAGTGCCCGATCCGCGCTCCGCGTTGGCCCTCGGTGGACGACGTGAAAACTTCAGTCCCGTTTCGTCCAGGAGGTATGGCGCGCGCGCAGTCTCTTGGTTAGAGCCAGAGAAGGCGGCTCACTGCGCACGTTGAGCTGGAGGACGCGGCTGATGCCGGAGCCGACGCCGTTGCTGGCCTCGCATAGGTACAGGCCGGCGTCGGCGCTTTCCACGCTGCGGATGCTCAGCGTGCCGTTCACCAGGATGTGGATGTGCGAGTTGCTGATGATGGTGCGGAACTGAGACACCGGGCTCTCGGGCTCTGAAACAGAGGGAGTCGCAGATGTTTTTCTTTTCACTCGGCAGCCTTAACTTACACACGTTTGCCTTGAGATTCGAGAGACACGCGAGCCGCGGTGAAGAGAATGATTACTACCCGTCACACGCCTACGGATCTCCAGTGGGCGGGTTCGAGTCCCGGCCGGGGGGCCTGCAATGTGGAGGAGGCTTATTGCCGAGAAGGCACTACGTAGTCGATGTTTCGGTTGATCTTCGCGCGATCTCCTGGTGGTCTTAATTCATCGTCAGTCCTCCGCTGTGGCGTGCCTGATACCCTTCGTTGGTTTGGCACGTAAAAGTTTGCGAATTCTACTTTTGTCAAGCGCTAGATTTTGAGCAAAGGGAAGGCTACGGGTAAGGGGTCAAAGCAGCGAGTTGTCCGGCGAAAATAGCTTTGGAAAAGCCTCACCTGCGGTTGATTTTTATTGACGTCAACTTTTATTTTTACCTTCCCCCACTGCGGATGCACGAGAGAATCACAATGCAGGGAGTAAAAACAATGGCTAAGCAAGTCCTGGTTCTGTGCGGGCGTAGTTCGAGCGACAAATGTGTATTCCTCATTCGCGGGAGCTCGTTGAACAAAAAAAAAATTAAGTTTTATATCCGGACATGTGTGTCTTTTGCCTATTGTGTGAGAAGCCCACAAAAGAGCATACATGTTGAAACGCTGGGGTATTTCATGCCGACAGTCCAGGTTGCTGCGAGACCGGAAAAGGACGTTTCCCAGTTTCGTATTTTCGCCTCAATTCATTTTATACCCTTTTTTTTCGTACCTAGGAGCAAGCCAAGCAAATTCTCGAGCTGCAAAACCCGGGAAATCCTGGATTCGGGCACCCCCTCTGATAGTTTTCATCTAAATGGGCATCTTACCGGCACGAGTTAGAGTAATTCCTACTTCGTGGTGCACGTTAAAACCCCCAGCTCATCACTAGGACTACACTGGCTGACGCTCTTTTCAGTAAAGGCTTCAGGTTCCCCTTGGTGCAGACTACGTTCCCGCTAGCAAAACGTCTATAGAGCAAATTACTAACTACAACCGATTCAGTGTTTCGAATGCGAGCTCTTGGCTTAACGGCAAGTAACCCCACAAAGGGCAGAGGCGCATCGGTGCGCCTAGACTCTTGGGTTGTAGCGACACATTTAGTCATCTTATTACTTATGTCCAGTTACCTGAGGTTTTATCCAAAATCACAAGTAAAGCTTTATTGTTTTCCATAAATGTTAAGATTGGTCCGCGACAGGTTAAAGTGATATTACCTGAGTTTTCCGACCCAGTATCTGAAGCCCATAAGGTACTATTTTTCGTCGCAGCCGTCCCCAACTGCGCCGGCTCAGGACTTGACAACAAAAATGGCGGCGTCAACGTGACATCCGGGGAACGAAATGTCGATACTCGAAGCGCGGCATATATAATGGCTCTAGAGGCGTTCTTTTGGAGCAGTCTGCTCACGCTTCAGGGATTCATTCTTTTTTGTCCTTGCCGAGTGCCAATGCTGTGTTCGAAAGGTACGCGCTTAGCACCAAGGCCACCACTATGGCCGCCGCTGTGGTCTCAGTGCAAGTATGGTGCCTGGAACGCGTCTCCCACGGGTGTATTACCGCGTTCAAAAAAGTGGTCCCTCGATTTTCGCCTGATGACGTCATATAAGCGCCATGCTGCCGACGGTCGCGATCCTAGCGGTGTGACAGCAGCGTTGGTGGATGTGGCAGAGGCCTGTTCCGCTGCAGGTCGGTCTATAGCTTGGCAGTCTACGGAGGCTTCGGCGACCAGAAGATGGGACGCCGTGACTACAGCGACACCCGCGTTCGCAGGTGCTTCTTGACGGAACTTCTACGACCAACCACCAGGATCGCGACCACTGACTTTGTAAGTGAGATCATTTGTTGCCACTTGGGGATTAGTTTCGATGCATGGACGGAATAGGACGCTAAATACGCCAGTCAGAGACGCATACTAGGAACCGTAGAGTAAGCCATGTATGCAGAAAGCAAGTCGTCTGCTTTTTGCGGAGGAATTAAGGTGTCGTCAGAAAAACGCCCAATTTTTATTGGCTTCCATTGCAGGATAGTGGGTAGACCTCAAAGCAAGCTGCCTTGAGATCTACCCTCTATCTTTTATTCAGAACCAATCAGAGTTCGACGTTCTGACGTCATCACAACCCCTGCAAAAGAAGCAGACGAAGTTGCACTCCGCATAGAGTCAACTTCTCAGAAAGTTGCCGCCAAATGTTTGTGGCGCCGCTAGTCAGACGACGCGTTGGACATCGGAGCACTTTTCGGAAAATGTATGCGAGATTATAGAGAATGAGATGTGATACGACACGCTATAGCGGCGTCCTAAATTAGCCGCACTCCGCCGAGCGGTTCCGGGAGTGGATTGCGTCGAGCACTTAGCGAGTGCCGCCGACGCTCGACTGCTCCCGAGGAAGGGGCTCTGGTATCACGGCACTGTGTACAACATAAAACGACGATTTTTTTTTTTCGCTGTTTGTTGCATTTTGAATGAGTGCTTAGAATTATTAGTAAAGTGGAAGAGGGTGGTAGACAGGCACGTGAATAGTGGTTGATTTCCTCCCTCGTACATTCTTAGATTATGTTCAGTTAGAAAGTAAGAAAAACGCAGTCGCGAGTTCTCCTGCTTGTTGGCAGAAGTTGGGAGCAACTATGAGAACCAGGCATTTTGGCGATGGGGAACGCAGAATACAGTATGAATTTGAACGCACACGGTTTAAAAATGGCTTGTCTGATGGGGGAAACCGCAAATAATAAAGAACTTTCCTGAATTATACTATAGTATGAATGGCTGGAAAGGCGACACGTTGTTTTTATATTTTACGCTTGTAGGGAATAATGTATTTTGGTATCTTGCTGACGGTTGCCTTTGTTCATGCTCGTCTGGGCTGTGAAGTTAGGGAATGCGATACTGCCGCTCATTTGTTATCGTAGACCCAACGCGACACTAAAATCGTTCAGCCTTTCCACTCTCGTGAAAAAGGAAGACAAGCGGAGCTGTACTCGATACACTGTGTGCTTCTTCTTCGTCGCCGTCTGTTTTTCGCGCTGTTTCTTACCATGAATTCCCACCAACACGCCCAACTATCCGTTCCTCGTTTGTAGCTGGAAAGGTTACCGCCATCTACGAGCGACGGCTGAAACCATACTGGTTGTGTGCTTGCCGCCGTCGCTTATAGATGGTGGTAGCTATCCAGGTAGATTTGTGTCGACATACACAGACACGATCCTGGGGAACCTAGCCTTTAACAGCTCCGCTGTAAAAGGTGCTTGTATGCCTCCTTAGCAGCCACGCTTGGAACCTCTCGTTTATAAGCAAAATTATGAAAGTTCGGCAAACGCGCCCCACCACTCACTTCGGTCGTCTGCGTCGCCGTCCGCAGTTTTCCCTTGCCTGTATTTTGGGCCCTATTTCTTACAGAAAGAAAGCTAGGCCCTGTAAGATTTGTGAGGTAAAACCCAACTGTGAAATGCACCTTTGACGAAAAGTTTATATTTGTACGCGGAGCCGCCAATTTTTCCGGACCATTTTACATTGAACCTAGTTGTTTCAGCCACCCTATATATGGACGCAGACACTTCGTATCCCGGGTCGGAAATATTCAGATATGGTGTGAAAATTTTGAAAACTCCAACCGTAGGGAAGCTACGAGCGTTAGTTTTGGCATATGAGTAAACAGTGAATTTTTTAGAGGTTCAAGTTACTAGCCCAAAGAAAAGCACAAGCGCCCCATTATTTTGTGTAAGCTACGTCGGCTGCGTGTTTACGAATATGAATTTATCTAGGAGAAAAGCTCTTGCCTATTGACGAAGCTGTCATTACGAATCTAGTTCAAGTAACAAGCGGTAGCTTGCAACGCGCGCGTTCCTCGTATCTGCGCCACGTAGGTAGGCCTACGCGGAGTGCACGTTCGTCGGCTTCTTTTGCGGGAGTTGCGGTTATGTCAGAACGCCGAGCTGTGATTGGCTCGGATAGGAAGAATAGTGGGTAGACGTCAAGGCGGCTTGCTTTGCGGTCTAGCCACTATCTTTTAATCAGAGCCAATCAGAGCTCCGCGTTCTGACGTCACCGCAGCCCCTGCAAAAGAAGCAGACGAACTTGCGCTACGTATACCACCTACAAGACAAGGCCTGCGTCTTTCCCCTCCAAGCGTCCTCGCCACCGGATCGACGCAGCGCGCCCTTGCTCGCGTCAGCGTCACCGCGAGCGCGTTTCACAGCGTCTCACAACGAGTGTGACGCTAGACGCGCGGCGACGGCAGACGCACGCTACTGCCGCTTTGCAGCGTACTTTTGTGAAGGTTTAGCGGGTTTACAGCTACGGGCGGGCCGAGAATTCACTAAGAATGACGTTACTCCATTACGTGAGAAGAAAAATAATTCGCCGTTACTAGAAAAAGTAACCGTTAGTTTTCTGACTAGTTTATATGTTCAAAACGACAGAACTTCTAGTTGGTTTTAAAACGTCTATTTCGTACCGCTTATTATTCAGTTAAAATCACCTAATTATCTTCCTGTCGGCGACTTGGCTCGGGGGATTCGTTGGTAAGAAACTCGACAAGTGCGCCATTAAAAAGGGAGCAGAAAAATAAGAACGGCTACCAGTACTTTTAGTACTTCCAAATGTAATAAGCTTACTCTTGTCATTACTTCCTAATCAATGTATCCAAAGGACAACAGAATTACTCCAAACAGTAACCGATTAGAGTCATTTGATTACTTGCAATGATACAAGTCTGAGGCAAACCCGAAAGAAGAACTGCACGTACCTGCTGCGCTCTTCCAGCGTATGTGTGGCTGCGGAACGCCACTCGCCTGGCAGTCGACGAAAACCGAGCGGCCGGACACGGCCGTTGTGTCGTTGGGCTCCAGGGTCCAGGACGGGGGCACTGTACGCAACATTCGAGACAGTTTGTTCGCGTGTCGCTCTTCAGGACAAAACTGCCAGTTTGTTGGATATATCCCTTATTTTTTCCGCTAAGTTTCGCGCAGACATCCTGACGTCACGTGATGTTGTCACGTCATAATATCGAGACACCGCGGTTCCCCACGGGGCGCGTGCGCAGTAGTGACGTCTTCGTTGCGGAGAGCGTTGGAGAGGGAAAAACAGCGGTTTACGAAAGCTCCTTAATAACGGCTATTTTCGCAAAAAGGCCTCCATCGCATTAGGCTCCCGAATAAGAAAAGTAGAGATATCTTATCCCTCTTGCTCTAGCGCGTACTCTTTTTTTTTTTTTTTATCTTTCACATTCGCGTGTCGAGGGTGGCTCCGCCTGGATCGCTCTAAATTAACAGCTTGCTTTCTTCAGAAGATGTCGTTACTTTTTCATATAGAGAAGCTTTGTTAGCGCCCCCCCCCCCCCCCCTTCCAAAGTTGCACGAGTATTTTCGTGGACAGAACTCGTTGAAACACCCGATCGGGACTTTTTCAGCGATTGCGGTTCCTATAGACTTTATTATTTCTAAATGTTTAAAATAGTCCGAAGTTCGAGACCTCAACTTTGCATTCCCACTCCTAGTTCTGACCACACCCATCTCAACAAACTGGCCAACTGGAAGAAGTGTGCCGGGTCGTATGGTCCGCGCGAGCGTACCTTTGACGAGCAGCTCGGCCGAGTACTCGGCCGACGCGAACTGGTTGGTCGCCCGGCAGGTGTAGTTCCCGTTCTGCCTGGACGAGAGACGCTGCAGCGTGAGCGTGGACACGAAGCCGCCCTCGGGACTGAGCACGGACACGTCGTGGCTCGGGTGGGCGCCCGGGGCCAGGGGCTTGCCGTCGCGCAGCCACTCGATCTTGATGGGAGGATCGCCCGCGTGCACCAGGCACGTGAGTCCCGCCCGCACGCCTTCGTGCAGGTTCGACTGGAAGCTGAACGGCGTGATCTGGGGACCGCCTGTCGTCGCCGCAGAAAAGACAGTCGTGCGCGTCAAGCCACGTTGACGCTGCTAAAACATCATACAAAAGACAGTCCGCTGACGCAGTCTGATGTGCGTTCCTTCCTTGTCTGATGGTCCTGTCACGGAACATGATTGCGCTTTGAAGACAGGGACATAGGAAGAACCGACACCACAGAGCTCACAGAGCTAGCGCTCTGTGGTGTCTGGTCTTCCCATGTCCCTGTCTTCGAAGTGCAATCATGTTCCCTGACGTACCTTACCAACTTGCCCAACAATCAGCACTGGTCCTGTCACATTGGTGATACATGGATGGTCATACATGGACGCTAGGTGGCGCAAGCTACCGCCCTTTGCAACGGGAGGTAGCTTGCGCCACCTAGCGTCTCTGCAGACGTGTTTGAAGCATTCATACGTGTGAAGCAAACAAGCATGGGACTTGCGTGAGGTGTGTCCACGTGCACTTCTGTAATCATGCCTGCAGCAAAGACAGTGTTTTTTGTGTCATGTCTGGAGCAGTGTGACCCAGGCTTTAGGGCACGAGGGGGCACGTCCTGACGGGCCTCCCGCGCTAACCTTTGAAGATGCAAGCTTTGCCACGTCGCGGCACGTTTGCAAATGCCCAATAGTGCGAACAAATGTCGGGGGGTGGCCCTAGCGTGCAGTGAACTAAACGACAGGGTGACCCGATCTACTATAAGACTGGTGACGGGTTTAAGTGGCAGGTTAATTACTGCCCCAAGTGTTCTGAAACGTGGCGGGGGGCGGCACTGTCGTACGAAGAGTTGCGGCGCCGCCTTTTTATTGCTGAACGCCCATATGAAAAGAATGTCACATTCGTTTTATTTTGTAAACGTGACGTGGCGTCGAATTCGAGTGCTCAGAGACAGCTCCCAGTTTATATTCGATCAGATGATCGTAGTAAGAGCGCCGCTATGTGTTGGTGTGGTATTGATTCAATTAACCTTTCCTTTACCACTGTTTCTGCATGTCATCTGCATGAAGTATTTCCTTACACACTCTGGGAAATACCAAAAAGTAGACGCCACATAATTCCTAGGGAGATTTGGCATGTAACATAAGAAATGACAATTCAACATTATTTAGTGTTACACGATGGTTTATTGTAATTTTAAAGCAACCAGCCAGTCTTTTGTACAGTGTGTTTACGCTTAATGATTTCTATTAGATAAGTAATACGCTATGTACCTGAATACTTCCCCGTATAATTCACTGCAAAACCAGCGCTTGTTCAAAATAGCTTTTTTATATTGATAAAGTTCTCTTTTTCGCTAAAATTAAACTTTCATGTAACTTTTCTTTTTTTTTTAAATACTGACCTATTTTGCGTTCAAAAAACAAAATCAATAACTTTTTTTTAATTTTTACTTTCTTGTGGAATTGAAAGCAGGTCCTATAATAACCAGTGATAAGTAACAAATGTAAGGCTCAAAAATATTATAAAAGCCCGTAGTTGATACAAACTTTTAAAGAGTCATAATGCCTTCCTATTTATTTCCGAAGTTTAGTTATTTTATGTCCAAGGAGTTAAATTAGAATTACAAAACGTTAAATATATTTACAAAGTTTAGTTAAGTTCCAAAAATTCCCGCAGAGTTAAATTACACACATACTTGTAATTTAACTCTAACATTGTCAAGCAGCTGCCCACCGAGTACTTGGCGATGGTCCTTCCTCCCTTGAACTAGGGCTTTGCTGGAACGCGTGATAGCGCGCCCTTTATACTCCGTTCACTCCTAAGCGGACATGCAGCGGAAGCTACGTGCTCCTTTGGCCAATCATCCGTCTATCTTCCACCACGTGATCACATGGTCCCTCCAATAGCAACGTGGAGAAACCGGGTCAGTTGTTGAAAGGGAGGCTCTTAATAGGTCCTTCGAGATAGCAGCTCTTACTCCACTCTCAGGTTTGCGGTAAAATGAGTCCAACCTAGAAGTCAAGGGACCCTCCAGACCCGCTCGTAAGAACGGTGCTGTGTCAAACCAGGGCGGACGACATAACTCTGTGGCTCCGAGCTGCGTCCGAGGTACATAAATTACGCCAACAGGAAACTGGCCGACGACTCTGGATTTTCCACCCGGGCTTTCTTTCTTTTCGTTTGACGATGTCTCCAGAAAAGGAAACCCAGCCTTTCATATTTGCTGGAATTCTCTTCTCGCTCCTATCTGTTTCATGTGTGGGTGTGTTTGTTTGAACGAGTGAGCGTGTGTATGTGTGTGCGAGTGCGTATCTTCCTCTATCCTTCGTGGCTTCCAACCTCAGAGCACGTGACTGGCTTACCGCGGCCGATTTATCACCTCCGCCAAAGAAATCCTACCAAGGATAAATGAACAAATTCATAATCATGACGATTGCCATCGTCATCGCATCAAACAAGACGCAGAGTAGGCAAGAACAAATATAAAAATAAGCGAAAGGAAATAATGTTTTTCTTTTTTATTACTATTATTATCGTTATGTTTGCCAATGACCGTAATTTATCTCGTGCTTTCCCAGTTCAGCCCAGATTAATCTCTCGGCATAACTAATCATATAATTTTTCTGGGATTTACGTGTCTATTTTATCATGCGTCCTTCCGTCGCTTCCTTTTTTTTTTTTTTTGTGCGTGAACGGTAGGATGAGTAAGCCCTAAAAAAATATCCAAATAAACTTTTCAGGTCTCTCTCTTTCTTTCTTGTCCATCCAACTTGTTTTATTTTATTTATTGTTTATTGAAATAACCCCACAGCGCCCGTGAGGGCATTATAGCGGGGGAGGGGCAAATACAAAATGAACATGACGCCAAAGAACACTTAAATTGCCTAAACAGTCAAAACTCAAAATGTGACTTACCAGGAGAAATCAACATGAAAATAAAGACAAACGTAAACCCAAACCAGCGTAAAACTAGACACTGCACTCGTGAATATATATAGAAAAAGCTGAAGTTTGTAGAAATAACAGGTTTTAAGAATCTGACAATGCCTGATAAAATTGATAGCTTACGCTTGTTGAGACGATCTCTTCAGGTAAATTGTTCCAGTTGAGTATTGTACAAGGAAAAAATGAGTATTTGTAAATGTCTGTTCTGCTGGAAAAAGGCCTAATTTTTCTGCTATGATCCAGGCGCCGAGAGATAAAGTGAGGTGGAAGTAAATAACGCATTTTGTCAATTCCACACTGATCGTAATATATGCTGTGAAGCTGTGACCTGCGTTCATTTTCCCCTGTGCTAATGGGTATTTTTTTTATTTTCCTCGCCCGTGTGGGTACTCGAAAAACAACTATAAAATAATATATACTATTGTAGGGATCACACTGGGGAACAACCTTTAAAAGGGCACTGATATCATTTTTGAAAAATGTCGTTTTTGATCTTATATTGTTTAACATGAGTTAGTACAGACATACACCAAGTGCTATATTACAAAACCGCCTATTCATCTAAGGGAAATAGAAGAAAAAACATGTGGATTCTTTTTCTTGCGGACCACAGTTTGTGGACAAGCAAAGTCCCGCAATACGCGCAGATTTCGAACAATTTTATTATAATTAACTCGTTTCGAAGGGAGTTGTCCTCCTCGGAAGAAACTTTTTCCCCAAAAAGGCGTGTCGCGGTCTTTAAACACGCTTTTAGCGAGGCAATAAGCTACACACGATTGTGATATCGGGTTCGATGGGATGCTTAGAGCGTTTAGATGGAGTTAATTGTCGCCACAAAAGAACGATCTCGAAATCGATTTCAGTGCCCCTTTAAAAATATAAATACATTTTAACACTTTCTGAGTTGTGTATACTATGTTGTATATGTGTCAGATAATAAGCTAAATTTAAGTATCCGTTTCTTGCGCCTGAGGAGGCGCTCGCTCAGTTTTACTAAATTCACTTGATCATGGGAAAGTAGCACCAAGCTCCCTGTATGTTCGCCATGTTGGTCCGTAAAATGAGCAATATCTCCTCGACCCTTCCGTTCTTATTCAGCCGATCTAAATTCGCTGGTGACGGGTAGCTTTATGGAGACGTTTCTTGTATACCGATATTTTGCCGCCCACGCTTCGGCGAAACAAGCGGGAATCTTCGTACCACAACGACATCATGTGTCGGAGCTTGGAGGCACTGAAAAAATAGTTTTACTGTTTTGAAATACGCGAAGAAAAACAATCTAATTGTAGGAGAACCGTGGAGATTGGAATGCTTGATAAGTTGATTGCATACATAGTGCCAATGACGCCTATATTGGCGAGGGACGCTTCCAGTACGATGATGCTCCATGCTGATCTTGGTGCGACTGGTTTAATGCGACCCTCTGGACACTTCGAAGATTTGAATAGACCAAAATGGCAATTTCCATGGCAATCTAGACTAAACTTGCGAGGTTTTGGTCGTCTGTATGTTAGTATCCGTTTATGTTATACTAGCAGGTAGGGAAGGCAATGACGCTAATGTCCCAGGATTCAGTTACTTTAAGTTTCATATAACAGCGATGGAAGTGTCCAGAACACGAATCAACAACTACAGCCACTATGAATAGGCCACTGATTTAGAGTTCGAACACTATTCCTCCATTTTCTTCTTGGTGCCGCCATTTTATTTTGGCTACTGCCAAGCTGCCGAAATTGTCTATAATTACGATTTAAAAAAAAAAGTCGAGTTTATGAGTTTTACATACTACTTTCCCTACTCCAAAGTCCAATATAACTTTTCAGTATTTAAATTCTGGAAATAGAAATTTTAGTGGATTCTATATAGATTTAAAGGGGCGATGCAACGAGTTTTGTATTTTGCGGAAATACCGCTTAGAGCGGATCCCTGACGTTAATGACCTGTGAAATACCTGTTGGTTTTTCACCACACGCAATCGAAGTCGCAGAAAAAAATAAAGAAAAACCAAGCAGAGTTCACCCCCTCAACTCGGAACCAGAACAAGCGGCCACGTGATCGGGAGCCGATTATATGCCGCCAATGTTGATCATAGCCATGCGCTGGGATTGGCAAGGCACAGGGCAATCGCTGCGTTCCAGACATTGTTATGGTTCGGCTGTTGTCGTCATTGCAGCGATTGGACACGGGACACTACCCGAATGTTTCTTGAGCTATAGATTATCACGAGCCCAAATCGAGTGCCGACGCAATGCTCGGATGCAATCTATGAGCCGTATTCAAATATCGTCACTGGGCGGTACTGTTACCGCCCAGCTACGTCATCAGGTTTCGCGAAGGAGAGATTGAATGTATACGCTTGGTTTTGTCCTCGAGATTACTGTGCAACAAAGGAGTTTCTTGGTCAGTGGCGTTGCGTGCGAGTATCCCTAAGTCCCACTAGTGCCAGTAAGCTCGTGTAGAGTGAAAAACACTCCAATTGAATATCGTTGCACCGCCCCTTTAAGGTTTCCAGGAAATATTTCTTTGCCTGCCAATCTGGATTTAAGGTTTCCAGAAAACATTCCAGATAGAGACTTAGTTCCTTAATTCAGATAGCGAAAATTTATATTGGGTTTAACGTTAGGGTTGGGTAGCTCGGACGATTTTGTATTCATTTGGCTTGGACAGTTTCAACATTCCGTAAGATGAAATACCGCCTCCCTTGACTTCGATAAAGCTTATGAAAACTGACAGCAAATTTTTTTTTTTTTAAAGATGAGGGAGACGTCGCTATGCTGAAGCGCAGCTTATTTAGTGGCCCTACTATCAGTCATCCCGAATATTCGCCTTGCACGACGTCTTTTAGTTGTCGAGAATTACGCAAAAAAAAGGCGAATCCGTTCCATGCTATTCGGTCTGTTTCACGGGGGAAAAAGGGATACTGCCGCGTGTACAAAATTCGAACAAACATCTTTACTTTTTTTTTTTTTTTGTATTATACTATCTGGCATCTCAGGAATTTGAGGATCAAAGGAAGGCCAGGCGGCCCTCCAATTTCAACGGGACGAGAAGTGCGCATCTGTGTACCAAGTTCGAAAGAGGCCTCTGGGGATAGGGGCCCTAAAGAGAGGCTCGCGCTTCGCTCAGCTTCAAAGGCTCGAGCTCAGCTCCCTCCCCTTGCCCAGCTCTGAGCTACGAGAGCAAACATTATTACGTCCGAAGGAGTCTCCGTTTCTTCTCTGGGTTCATGCAGATTACTGTTGCTCTGTTGTTTTTTTTTGTTTGTTTTTTTCTGAGCAGCTGTACTTTGTGTATGTCTTCTAAGATGTTTCATTGTTTTCGCTGCAGTATGCTACTGATCAACTTTCTTCAGGAACATGTTGGAACTGGTGCTATATTACTGATACGTAAAAAAAAAAACGTACTGCGTGGCTCATTATATTATTTCGTTCGTGATTCGTTTTTTGGCGTTCCTTATGGGTGATTCCCGCATCATCATTGGTTGCGGGGTGACAATAAGACGCAGGATGGTCGCCAAGCCTCGCGGTGCTTAAGCTGTGGGTCACTAATCGCGGCATGCGCAACCAAAGGCGTCGCTGTAATCGAAGTTCGCAATTGGCCAAACCAGAGCTTCCCGTATACTTACAATGCCTGCCTAGTCGCCGGTTCAGAACGAGGCAAATCCCGCTGATCACGGCGAGGCAAAGCCAAATCCCGTCAATACACGACGAGCCAATCTTCGTCGTCGTGACGTCACGAACAAAAGCGTACTGCCAAAGGTCACGGCGTAATAAAAAAGAACAAAGAAGAAACTATATGTAAGCCGCGGTTAGACGGCTAGTACATAAAGAGAAAAAACGCAGACACTGTTTGAGGAGGTATTTTTCGCTGTACGGCTGTCCTCTTACACTGGTCGTAAAAGACCGTTTTGAGGACATGTCGGAAGCATCCATTATGTGGATAGTTTTTGTCGTGCTGCCTGAAGCGAACAACGTGTCTCTCACGTGACGTAGGAGGGACGTGTCTGGCAGCCGCCGGGCCCACTTCGAACGCGACGAAAATTCGCAGCGTATTGGCGTCCCAACACCAGCAACATGATTCTCCCGCGTTGGCACGCGGGCCAAACAGCACATACTCGAATTGGTTACGATTTACGAGTGCATTACGTCAGCGCTCAGCCGTGACTCGTTTTCGGTCAGTAAAAACCCGAGTACCGACTGAACAATGACGCAGCAATCGTGTTAAAAAAAATGCGTTAAGAAAGTTAAAAAAAAAAAGACAGAAAGATAGATACAAAAATGAAGGTGCTTACTGCGCACGTGCAGCGATATGGAGCGGTGCACCACCTGCGAGTCCGGACCGTGCACGGTGCACGAGTACTGGCCCTGGTCCGGTTCCCGGTCCGTGCCTTGGATGACCAGGGTGCCGTTGGGGAAGGCCGTCTGCCGCTGGTTCAGCGGAAGCCGACGCCCGTCTGCATCGCCACACGCCGTGTTGTTAAGTAGTGCTCGGCTTAAGCCCGAGAAACGTTCGTGTTTCAACGTGCAAGTTTATTATCTCGCGACTTTATATCATTGTCGATTAGGACGTGCGCCAGGTTATGCTGCGATCTTTTTTAGCGTTAATAAAAAAATTCAAATCCTTTATTTGCAATAGTTTGCAAATCAACAGCCCAGCGTGCGATCCTCACAACTCAGCACGCGCGTTTGCGTAGCTTGCGGAAACGAGCGAAGCACGCGCCATACGCACGAACGCTGGAAATGGCGACGAGCTACGGTGGCACTGCTGTCTAGGCGGCGCATGGGCAAACCAACGAGCTTCAGTAAACTTAGAGCGGTAAACCAGCGGTCAAAAATGGCACCCCCCCGGTTGCCGCCATCTTGCCTGTTTGCCACATTAGTGATCACGTGACGTTAAGATGGCTGCGCCCAAAGGTGGGGCAGATCAGATTGGCCAGATCGCGGTCAGCAGATGGGCACTCTGGGGCTGCGTTCGAATCTTACTCGAATGGCGCCGAGCTATTCCGGCGATCAAGTCACGTGACGAGAGAGATGCAGCAACGCTGGACGCGGGTAGGTTTTCGAACGCAACGGGTACAAGAACTTCACCCAAGAGTGAGATAAAAGCTGCGTTCGATTTACTCGCACCTCCTGCGCCGGTGCAGAAAAGTGTAGGGCAGTCTACTTCCGGTATATGTATTGAGATACGACCGGAAGTACACCGCCCCACACTTTTCTGCACCGGTACAGGAGCTGCAAGTAAATCGAACGCAGCTTCTATCTTACTCCTGGGTAAAGTTCTCGCACCCGTTGCGTTCGAAAACCTACCCGCGTCCAGCGTTGCTGCGTCTGTCTTGTCACGTGACTTGATCCGCCGGAATAACTCGGCGCCATTCGAGTAAGATTCGAACGCAGCCCCAGAGTGCCCATCTGCTGACCGCGATCTGGCCAATCTGATCTGCCCGATCTGCCCCACTGTTAGGCGCAGCCATCTTAACGTCACGTGATCACTAATGTGGCAAACAGGCAAGATGGCGGCAACCGGGGGGGTGCTATTTCCGCTGCAGGCAGTGGATTCCGGTTTACCGCTCTAAGGTAAGACTCAAGCTCTTTGGGGCAAACGCATCACTTGACGCGGATCTGGCTCCTGCGCTCGCGCATTGCCCACAGGTAATTTGGCGAAACGCGGACACGTTTGTAAGCAGCGTGCAGGTGTGTTCAGGCCCCAGCGTCTGCCACGAAAAACAGTTCGGACGCTGTGAAAGGCATCCGGTGAACGCTCGCTGTTGTCACCCACTTCACCGCAAAGCACAAAGATCGACACGGATCAGGTTTTACGCTTAGTGCCTACATATGGGCTGCGTTCCAAATCTTACTCGAGTGGATCCGAGCTACTCTGGCGGACCAAGTCGCGCGACAGGACAAAGAGGCAAACACGTGTGCGGGGTAGGGTTCCGAACGCCAAGGTACAGAACCTTTACCCTAGAGTGAGATCGAGTAAATGTTTCTACAAGGCCATGGTGTGGGCCAACGCTGGCGTGTTTTATCAGAGAGTGGGTTCGTACGATTCATGTGCACCAGGCTGCACCGCGGTGCAGAAACGTGTAGCGCGGTGCGGAAAAGTGCGGGGCAATGGTTTGCGGTCGTGCCTTCAGATAGGCTGCATTCGTAAATCGAATACAGACGCGCGCACAGAGTGCAGCCGATGCAGGGAGCTGCGGGTAAATCGAACGAGCCCAGCGTGTTGGTCGAAAGTCCCAGACAAGGTGAGAACGGCGGTGCGTGTCTTTTGGATGCCCTACATACCTCCAGCACGCGCTTTGTTGTGTCGCGTCGTGAAATAGCCTCCTATATGCTGACAAATGCTGGCAGATCGCCACGAGAAGCGGACACCGTAATGGAAAAGGTGGAGCGGCAGACAGTGGATCAAAGGAGACCCACTTACCGGCGCCCTGCTGCGGCGAGACGCCGATAAACACTTCTCCCAAGCGAACGAATGTGTTTCGGGTCTTCGCCGGGTGAAAAAGCTGTGCGCGCTGACGTCCAGGTTCCTCGACAAAGGCTCTGTGCTACCAGATCCTCGCGCTACAGATCTGCGACCGGGCACTTTATGGTCGTCGCACTGCCAGGCTTTTGGATTATAAAGGAAGCTATGGTCGTGATATCACCACGCGCGCGCACGACCTACGTTCACGAGACGCCAAAGTGTTGTCGAAGGTAGGAAGCTCGGGCTGGCGGAGAGACCGTCTGAAACCCGTCTCTGTCGTTCTCATTCTCTGAGTGACTGCAGCCAAGGTGAGACGTCAGAAAAAATTGCAGAACAAAAATAAAAATAAATAAAACAGAAGAGGCAGAAAAGAGGACTTCAGCAACACTTCGATATAGCTTTGCCAGCCTCCAAAATCTTCCGTAGAGAACAAGAAGATGTCGAAAGCGGGAGAAAAACAGGATGTGGCGACGGTTTGAATAGACACGACGGAGCGTGGCAGGAAGACAGAGTCTGCTGCTTCGTGCGTCATAAAACAAAATTGGGCGTAAAACGGTTTGATGAATCAATCAAAATAGGCTGCAAATGTTTTTTTTTTTTTTCTTTTTTATCAAAAATCGTTCCCAAGAGCGGCGACACTCTGCGTAGACATTAGCGTTTGGTGGACTTGATTTGTCTGAAAAGTTTGTATCATATAGAGTAAACCGACATCAATTAAAGCACGAATGCAAATATAAAAAAAACAGGTTTCATAAACATACAGGTCTACAGCAACCGCTTATTTTGGCATTGATATAAAAAAATTACCTTAGCGATGTGAAAAAAAAAACTACAGTTTACTCCATTTTGCCAAAAGGTAAAATTCTTCTGACATTGTGTCATCGATATGCTCGGTGACTTATTGAGTATGATGCCTCAGAATCTCAAACTATTCGTCTAGTTTACCCTTTCATAGACGGAATATTACCTGGGAACAACACTCGCTGCATTATTTAAGCGGAATTCGAGTAATTTTTCTTTTCGTGACATAAGCTTACTTTTAGTTCTTATTTCTTTGAATAAAGAAAAGCTCCAATGAACGTCTTTATCTTTACTAACGCCATTCGCACTCCTTTGCCCGCGTCGTCTGCATAACCCACGTCGACAGACGAAGTTTCTCATTCCGCATCAAGCGTAACGCTTCGGCAAACGGGGTAAATGAGCCGCCCCAGAAAGCACTGGGTAAGAGAGAATTGGAAGCTCCCCCCCCCCCCCCCCCCTCTTTGCATTGTAATAGAGCAGATGCTGGAGAGGAGGTCGCCTCCTTTCCTATGCTCTCTCTTTTAAAGGGGAAAGAAGTGGGAGGAGATTTTACTTCTCTCTTGACCTGTGACTGACTCTAAAGTGGACACTCGGCGTGAAAGTCACCGAGATCGCCGAACAGAGTCGCATTGGCAAGCGCTAGGGTCAAGCACGGCGCTGCAGGTCAATCGCAGTGGTTGGCGATCTTTCCAACATTCTCGCTATGTCCAACTTAAAACCCGTGGTTGGCACTCTACAAAAAAAAAAAAGTAAAGGGTGCGAAATATTGAAATAGAAAGAAAAACTTGCAAGGTTTTGTTTAGCAGGTATTAATGTAATAATAAGCCAACTCTGAATACTCTTTAGGAAAAACCCAACGGCAAGGATAATTAAGCTAAAGAATCTACGAAAGTCTCGGCCAGCACCGACGGAAACTGAAAATTTATTTGAGCGTTGAATGTGCATTTGAATTTCGTGGTACACACTAAACATATTTTTTTTAGTTCTTAACATTAGTGCATCGTTCTAGGTTCGGTTTGGTTCGGTATGATTAGGTTAGGTTAGGTTAGTTGAGCCATTAGGTTATGTTAGGTTAGGTCAGGATAGGTTAGGTTAGGTTAGGTTACGTTTAGTTCCATAAGCTTATGTGACTAAACCTAACCTAACCTAACCTGAGCTTATGGCTCAACTAACTAACCTAACTAACTAATCAAACCAAACCAATTATATAATCGGTTGGGTTTGGTTTGATTTGGTTGAGAAGCCTCCCTAAGCCTATTTTACCTTTTTCCCAGTAGACGTGTCCAAACGGGTATCCTCCAAAAGGGCACTGCACGGCGAACACGCTCCCGGCCAGCGCCGACACGTTGTCGAGCGGCCTGACGAACACAGAGCCGTACACGTTGAGGCGCGCCACGTGCCTGGCGACTCCCGCGTAGTTGGACGCCTCGCAAGCGTACGATCCGCCGTCCTGCACTTCGGCGGACGAGATGGACAGCGTGCTGACCACCTCGCTACCGCCGCCCGTCTGCCCCGTCGTCGTCCCAGAGTCCGGACCCGATGTTCGGACCCTGAGCCGACCGTGGCGGGAGTCGATGGGCCACGTTGAGTCCAGGGTCCAGGTGACGCGAGGGGGAGGGTCGCCCGTTGCGACGCAGCGCAGCGTCACCGGCTTGCCCGGCCGCACTGTTGTCTCTTCGAAGGTGGACCGCAGCTTGGGCGCCTGGTCTGCATCCCATCGAAAGTGCAGTTAATGTCACTTACCTGCCTTCACGACCGCCGTAGACGTTACTAGGGTTATCGCACGAGATCATCATGCAACGTTACTTCCGAAACCCGCCATAATTCATGTTCGAGACATTCGTCGCTCTTATGCTATGTTTTGTGTGCTTTGAGGCCGTGTTCGCTCTGTAGCTTGTCCGCTGACTCGAGGTTTTAACTGGTGAGTTGAGCCATAATTAATTGTTTCAACCGTAAAAGGCGGCGACAAAATGAAGCTATGTCTAGCAGTATTACTTATTTATTTATTTTTAATTTCGACAGTTGTTGGGAACCAGGACAAGGCGTCGCTCGAGCAATCGGTTCACCGGCGCCATCAATGGCTCCGGCGGATACGCCGGTACAATCTCGACAGAAAAGCTGCGTGCTAACTGAGGGTTTTTGTTTGGGGCTGCATTTCGTGTCAGAATAGGAACCTCTTTGCTATTGTCTAGGAAAAGTAAAGTAGACGAAATTACTTGTGCGGCAGCTCCAGTTTTAATCAGTGTAGCCATTCAAAATATTGAAGGACCGGCTAAAGTTCTCCAAGTTTTGCACAATATCCCCCAATAATTTAACGTACACATAGTAGCCCTAATTTTCTTGTCAGTCACCGGTATTCTTGCCGTTCGACAGCACTCTTGTGAGGCGTTCAAGTCCCGCGCGTCGACACTTTACACGCGCATTCAAGTGCCGTGTAAAGAAGTTGAAACCCAAGTCACGCTTATTTTGACCTGTTGTCCATCGGCTGCTCCTCACGAATTTTGTTTCATCAACAAACGTGAACGATGCAAACGCTAGGGGAGCTGGCGGCTCTCTGGCTTTACGGCACTACTGCTGTTGCAATAAGACGTCGGATGCCTTCAATATGGCGCCAGTGCACTGATGGCAGACGAACAGTGATTTCTATGGCAATCGCTGAACCGCGCTTCACCGCTTCGCGAATGCGGCCACCGACGGCCATCTTGCGCCCTCCTGAATTTGACCTTCTGAAGTGTTGCAGAGGCTGGGCGGCAGCGTTCTGAACACACGGTTTCTGCCCGTTCACCACCATTCGTAGAAAAGTTTTTTTAATCTTTTATGGGCCTTCTGTAAACGGTTGTAGTTGCCTTTGAGAACACGTGGAAATTTTTACGAAAGCGCAGCACCACCGGAAAAAGGCACAACTCGTGAAACGCCATTCTCTCCAGTCTCGCGGCGTGATCAGCACTTCCTTGGCACGCCGAAGTGCTGCGTCTCTGTGAATTCGCACGCCTAGATACCAATCAAGAATCGACGCCGTGGCAAAGTTTTTGAAAGTGTGTCGAGAGTAGACGTCTTTGCATCGGTGGCGTCACGAGGAACGACGGAATCCGGGGTGATGGCCTGCCAAGACACAACCTCTCCCCCACCCTCTAGTTGCCCGCCGCGACACCTCCCCCCCCTTTTTTTCACTTCCCAGCGGCACCCCCCTGAACGCTGCACCCATAGCGTCCACCCCCATCTCTCCCTTTTTAGTGACAGCTGTTCCAGCGAGTTGCTATTAATAAAGAAAAAAAAACAGTGATTGCTGTTATGCACTAGTAACCATGGCGATGTTCCAAATCTTCTGAAATGGAGCACATGGTAGCGCACAAATAATGCAACCGCAAAGGTATGAAACGTCGAGATCGAACATTTTTTTAAAAGGCGGCCCATATGGTCGAGTGCAATCTGTGTCCGTCGCCGCCGTACCCTTTACCACTTTTCTGTTGCCACTGGATCGAGCTCGTTCCGAAACCGCGAGTGCCCCAAGTTACAAATATAGTCGACAGAGTAACGTAAAACACAGCTCCTGAAGCACATACGTGTTCACACACGTTGCTCTTCCGCGAAACAAATCCACACGGTGTCGATTCCAAGCGTGCGAAGACACAAAGACGCAGCACTGCGGCGTGCCAAGGAAGCTTTGATCACGCCGCGAGTCCGGCAAGACATGCGCTCCGCGAGTTGCGCCTTCTTCCTGCGGTGCTGCGCTTTTGTAAATAAAAGTTCACATGTTCTTAAAGGCCGCAACGGCCATTTACACACGATTTAAAAAAAGACTGCTGTGAATAACGGCGAATGAGCAGAAAACGTGTCTTTCAGCACGCTGCTGCCAAGCCTCGCTGCTCTCAAAAAGGTTGATTTCAGGAGGGCGCAAGATGGCCGCCCGCCGGCCGCACTCGCGATGCAGCGAGCGAGCGTGGATGCGCTATCCAGCAAATTCTCATAGAGATCAATGCAGACGACAAAAACGAAACCTGAGACACCGGTGTCTCACGTTTCGCCGTGTCCCCAATTCACCAGCCTTGCCTGTACTTTTACTCTTCTCTCAGACGACAATCTCGGTTTCGATTTTGAGGCTTACCGGAAGTGACGTCAGATGCAAGAAGCCTAAACGGCGTTCAAGTTCGTCTGCTCTTAGCGCTGCTCGTGCGTTTGTTTACCCCAAAGTTCGTTGACATTACTCCCCCCCCTCTCCCCAACCACAACCAATGGCGGCGCGCGCCCTTCTTTGCCTCGCCATCGTGCGTTCCCTAATCGAGATCTATGTTGCTCTATGATCGTCGTGTCTCTCCTTGCGTTCCGATGCGCCAAAGACGCATTTTGGAACACTTGCTGGCCGTATAGGGGGACCACGAACAGTTCCGAACTTGATGAGTTTCTGTATGGGCAGCCACACTTTTCGATAACCGTTGGCACCTATCCCGGCGCATAGATTGGCCGCTCAACAAAATGAGCATTGGACAATCAGCGCACGACAATCGACCTTTTTTAAGAAAAGGTCTGCGCGAGCGCAGTCCCTCCTCACGTAGCGGCGAAGGCTCGAAGTGCGATAGGCGCCCGGAAGAGGAGCTGCCCTTTCTCTCCAACGTCCTCCCCTACTAATCTTAGTCGCGAAAGAGGCCGAAAAGGTGGCGAAACTCCCCTTCGAGACGCCAATGGTAGTTCGAGCTTTCACCGGTAGGCGTCGTATTTATGTGAAAAAAGTCTAGTTTGAACAAGCCGCTACCTGATTAAAAGGGCTCAGCCGTATCTATCCAGCCATCTATTCATCGATCCTAAAGGGGCCATGGTGGCGTTATTGAAATGTGTGATAGGGCGGAGGCGAGCTGGTTTACGTTCATGATTTAGACAACCCTGAGACTGGAGAAAAACAAGAAGGACAAACATGTCGAAATCTCAAATGATGGTGGCGTCGTCACCGGCTTGCTCAGCAAAATCCGTTGTCTCGAAGGAGCGTCTGCACCGTGTGTTACCTGCTTACCTCAATCAGAAACTTTTGCTTCGGTTAATATTTGTTCCAAACGAGTCGTTTTGTAAAAACGTTAACAAAACTTAAACTGAGGAGAACGTTTCACACTTCACTGCGATAAAGACAGCGCCGACTGGACTCCTTATCCCCGTCCTTCCCGAGTGCGCAATTCAATCTCCAGGCAACACGAAGAGGTTAATTTCGGTCCTGATTACATCAACTGTCCGTTCCGCTTGGGTGGACAGCTCATTCGCGGAAGAAGCGTATCCACTGACCTTTATTGCCCGCCCCATCTCCTCTTCATCCGCGGCCCTGCAGCTTCGAAATCGCGGCAGCCCTTGATCGCTGCTTCCTTAAACATCCGGGGTCCGCTTTTGAAGTCGGACCGCTCGCCCGCTCGATACACGATAATCACGTACTTGAGAAGAAACTTCTGTCCGGTTTCTTCCATTTTTTTTTTCCCTTCGATACTAGGAGGCGATGGCCACCGCTTTTCCGTCGCGCCCTTCATAGTTCCCCGGGAATGACGGAGCGGGGGTTGTGGAGCGGAGACACGCGGGCCCTGCGACGGGGGTTCAAGTAGGAGCGCATAATCGGGTTGCCATCGGGGCTCGTTAAGACAAACTGGCGGCATTTCTTCCCGAGTGCCAGGCTGAAGGGGGACACGCGCTATTGGCTCGGTCGGTCCGCGTTTTCCGAGCCTTTCCGGACGCGAGGCGAGGGTAAACCGTCTTCGCGTATTTTGTGCGTGCGTCTGCAGGCGCTTTGAGAACACTCGAAGCGCATCCGAGCTGTTTCGAGGAGTTGCTTTGCAGCGGTCCAAATATAAGATAGGAATAAAAAATCAGTACAGAACTAGACAGTATTGGGTTTATGTGTTGTTATTTGTCATTTTTAGGTTGAAGATAATCATTGTACAGTCTAACTTCTCTCTAAAAGTAAAAAAAAAAGATGGAGTGAGGCTATTCTCGGAATTATAAGTACTAAAAGACAACGAGATTGAGCAAACCAAACGTTAAAGACGGGAGTGAAGCATTAAAAATTGGAGTCCCTGACATCGACAATCCCGAAAAAAAAAAAAAACATACACAAAAAATAAAAAATAGGAAGAAAAAACTAGCAGACGAGTTAGGCATGTTGGTTTGGCCGCGACGAATATAAGTTACTAAATCGCTTGCACACTAAAAATTTACAGTATACAATACACACCGCCAATGTTTTCATGCAAAATGAAGTCAAAAAGACAACTTTAGAAGTGATATTTCGCTACAGTGTGCTTATGGGATTCATGTCGGAAATCTCGGGCCTCCTAGATCACCGGTGGGGACAGCTATTTTCCGCCGTTGGAAAACTAAAGTTATGCATTGAACACCAAGAAAAGCGCAGCAGCGCAGATTCATCGTCACGTTAACCATGGAGCCGGCGAGGTTCGCCGCGCATGCGCTGTGTGGGAGACCGTGATGTCACGGCCAGAGCGCCGTATAAAAAAGGAAGACGCGGCGCGCTGCTTGTAGGAATGCTTTCGCATTTTTACACGTAAGCAGTCTTAAGTGTTTCGTTTTGCTGTTTTAAAAAAAAATAATTGTCTTTCTTTCTTTATATACCAGCATTAAGGAAGCGAAGTCGGAGTATGATATTATATCAGATGCTTTCCTATCCACTTTAGTGTCAAAACTCTTTTAGTTTTTATTTTTGACAGGTGTACATTTTGCAG